AAAGGAGTGTATTGACGATTATAGGTGTGATGGATAGGTAAAAATTATGTTCAGTATTGCTCACTGTTTCTGTTAAAGCTGAACAAAAATAAGTCGACAGGTAATAAGCCCCTTAAGGTTATTACTGTTGTTTTTAGGTAAGGAAGAAACTCCCATATAGGAATATTAGAAAGACCATGAAAACTATGGTATTTCAGGGATGGAAGGAGATAGCAGTGAAGGTACCTTGCTCTGAATTGGATTTTGATCCTGATTTTGAATGTGTGCAACTAAGTCTGAGTATTTTCAGGTACCAGTCTGGTAAGATTTCCTGGTTTTCCCCGCTGAGGAAAGAGTAAAGCAAGGATTGCAGTGTCTCAGTATGGGTTCAGTGGTATGATCTGAAGTTTCATTCTGGAATAAAGCTGATACTCTCTCTGTCAGCCCTGTTGTGAATGGCTGTCAAGTCCTTTGCATTGGAGCTTTGCAGGTGGTGGGTGTGGTGTGAAGCTTGGGGTGCTGCAGTGTACTCCCCTGTACCATTCCATGTGGAACAAGGGGATTCATCCTGGCAGGACAGGCTGTCTGCACCAAGGAAAATATGGTGAATTAAGTAAAGCTCAGTGAACTGAGCAATTTGCTGTAAACTGTTGTCAGTATGGTTATTGTGCAGTGAAGGCACCTGAATGGCTTAAGTGCATCTAGAGAGATGAATCTTTCACTTTGAGAACAATTTTGTTTTAATATGTAAATATCCTAAAGCAGCAGTATTACATATACTAAGCATTTAGGTACTTCCGTTCTACTGTCAGTTGAAGAAATAGTCCAATCTAAGCTATATTTGTTTGGAATTTTTTAGTAGTAGAAAGGTTTGGATGTGATTTTTAAGGAATTAGTGGGTAATAACTCTTTGTCAGGTACTCCCTTTTATTCCCATGCAGTGTGTTCTGTTTGCTGTCATTATTGTTTCTTCTAACATTCAGTTATTTTGTATGAGATCTTTTGATCTCCCCTACTGCAGAGTGAAGTACAAGTTAAAATACCATGTATGGGTTTCAAAACCATTAGAAAAAGCAAAACATACACTAAAAGCTGTGTTGGTATACCAGTTACCTAATCAGTCCTTAAAAATGCTTTTTCAGGTTTAATCAAGCTTTTTGATTAGGCTAGCTTTCTTATAAAAGTCTTCAGAGTTTGTTTAAACAGAACTGTTTCCGGAGTGAAATTTTGTATTTTCCTTAACTTTATGTTTAGCAGAAAGATTCTCCCACTCCACACCCCATTTTAAAAATGACATAGCTTAGCTATCTCTTCTGAAGCTCTACTGTTTGAGTGACAGTACTATTAAGACTTTTCTGTTTGAAAGCTGTGTTGTGCTTGAAGGCTTTTTATAGTAAGGTGAGTAGTAACACCTATTGTCAGTTTTCCTTGGGAACTCTTTGTATGCTAACAGTGTTTAAAAAAAAAAACCTGAGAGCCAAAATTACTCGTCTGCACTGTTTAATGGGCTGTGGAGTCAAAAGATGTTCTGTATTTTGGGTGCTCTGTGACCTTCTTCACTGCTTTTCCTGAAGGTTAACCCTTATGAACCCATTCATTACTTAAGCCACTGCAGACTCCTCTGTAAGTTGCTCACCCCCATTTCAGAAGAGCATCTGGGTTTGTTTTATGTTGGGGGTGTGGTGGGGAACTATAAGTTGATCAGTTTCAGCTGACTGGCTTTGTAAGGAATGCATCCACGGCAAATTTGTCAGTGATCCCACATTAAGAGGAGTGGTTGGCTTGCCAGCAGCGTCTGTCTTGTGATGCCGAGAAACTTTAGGACTGGCCCAGGTGAAACTCTGAGTTAGTTGAGTTAGAACTGCACAGATGGTGTACCTGGGGCAGAATCATAATGCTGTGCATCGATAGGGGCCAGGAGCTGCCTGGATGAGGAGCAGCACTGATGGGAAGGATGGACCAAGTGTAGGCTGGGCTATGTTAAGGGGAATGTGGATAAGTTCTGATGCTTCTCCACTTGCCAGTGATGAAGCTGCTATTGGAATGCGCCTTCCTATTACTCTGTTTTCCCTAAATTTCTCAAAGATGCTGAGAAACTTGATTTGTCAGTGGGCTGCCAGAATGGCTAAAAGATTAGACTGTAGCTACTGAGAGGAGGGTGTGAGGGAACTGGTATTGTTACCTCTGGGGGGGGAAAAGTGGGTTAGTACGTCACTGAAAACAGGTTATGTGGAGGGGCTGTGGAAACAGAAGGGTTTCAAAGAAGTCATGGCTGACCTGTCTTGTGTTGGAGGTAAGAGTCTTCAGGTGGCAGTTGGACAGGTAACCTCTGCAAGTCCTTCCTACCAGCATTTCTGTGGTACTGTCGTGTTAACTGTTAGGAGAACTCTAGAGACATCAGTTGAAAGCAGTACAGTAAGGAAACAAATTTTCTGAAGTTGAATTGCATACTCAGCACTGTGAAGCTCTTCAAGACACATTTTAATGGTGGGGTGACAGATTTACTCAGTAGGTGGTAACTCAAGCAGGCTACACCAGGTATTTGTGTGCATGCTTCTCTTAATTCTGGTAGCATTCACCTGAGAGCCTGAAAGTTTGATTTTAATGTTGCTTTATCTGCCGTAGGAGAATCCCAAAGCTGCTCTTGCAATCAGTGTTTAGTTATATTCTAATTTTGCAGAAGTTGCATTATTTGCATTTGTGCAACATCTTAATATTTAGGAGAGTGTAATTTACTAAATATAATTTTCATATTTTTAAAAATTTGCATTCATTCACTGCCCTTTTTTAAATAATAATCTGTAGAGTTGAAGAGGAAGAAACCCTGTTTTTAAGAGAATTTACCGAGTTCGTAGCACAGAATTTCTGTGTGCAGGAGATTCTGTGTCTGCCAGATTGTATTGAAGTTGCAATATCCAAGTGGTGGCTGTTTCTTGTGGTGTTGATGTTTCTTTTTTTTGTGAGGCCTCATAGTCATAGAATCATAGAATCGTTAGAGTTGGAAAGGACCTTAAGATCATCTAGTTCCAACCCCCCTGCCGTGGGCAAGGACACCTTACGCTACTGGTATTAATCATGGAGGGGGATAACCCCCAGAACTGAAGAAGGAGATAGAGTAGCAAAGTCTTTTTTTTTTTTTTTTTTATGATCAGAACAAATAACCCTTTCCAGCAGTTCAGTGTGTGGGAATGACAGGAGGATAGCTGGAAGCCCCTGAAATAGGCAGGGGAAGGTTGTATAGATCTGTGACAGAGCTGAGCTTCAGTTTCAAATTGATGTTCTGCTGTGTTGTCCTCCGTACCCTCAAATACTGGAAGACAGAGGAAAGAACACTACAGTGGTGGAAAACAGTGAAAGGATAACGAAACTTTGAGGCATCTGGTTCACTAGACACTAGTAGTTAATCTGGGAGACTACAGTTTGCTTATTTCATATTCAGCTTACTTGGATGGAGAGCTCATGACTTAACTCTCCCAAGTCATCAGTGGCTGTAGTGATTTAAGATCTTGTCCTGGTGAAAACTGCCACTCTTCCTCTTTACTGGGCATATGCAAGGCACCACGTGAGAACTTAGACATTTTGAGTTAGCACGAGACATTTTTTAAATGGTTTACAAGAGCAAACTGCACTGGAGGGTCTGAAGAGTATGTATATGCTTTATAGCTGTCAGCATCTGGCTCAAGGTGGGAGGTGGCAAGGGGGTAGCATTCAAAATCACCCCATCCAGCAGTCTGCCGGACAGGCTTCTTTGGTTGCTGATCATATCGGGTGGTAGGCAGACTGCACTGGAAGGATGCACAGACAGTAGTGTGAATTGGAATACTGCAGTTGTACTTGGTGTCCTTCCAAAAGTTTAACATGAGTATTCATGAAGAATCTTTAAAAGTTACAGTTTAGTACTGATTTGCAGCAGTAGATGGGTTTCACTGGGTTAACTAAGAAAATTCTGTGTGAAGAAATCTTGTGAGCTAATACATTTATTGTGATCTTTATTTCACTTGAAATGATTCTGTAGAATTTGTGACTCCTGTCCTGAAAGAATAAAATGAAGTGTCCCGTTTAGGGAGTCTGTGCTTTTCAAGTGTTACTCTGTGAGGACTGCTTTTTCTGTTGCTCTTAACTAGCTGAACTTCTAAAGAAAGCAACCCAGTTAAAATTGCTGGGTAGACAAGGATGATTAAGTTAGCTATTCTTCCGATTTGAATCTGTTGCTTATAATACTTTAAAGGGCTTACTACCATCTGTTCAATTATCTTGCATAAATTTTCTCTATGACATGTTTTAATGGGCTTGGCTTATACCAGCCCTTGTTTTCTACTAAGGTGTGCTTTGAATGTTTGACTTTTTCCCAGTCTGGTAGAAGGTGTAGGCTGTTTTGTGAACAAAGGGTTCTGTTTATTGTCCTGCCTTATGTTCACTGGAGCTCTAAGATTCAGAGAGTTGCAGAATGGTGTGGGTTGGAAGAGACCTTGAAGACAGTCTACTCCCAACCCCGCTGTGCTGGGCAGGGACACCTTCCACTAGACCAGGTTGATCAAAGCCCCGTCCAGCCTGGCCTTGAACACTGCCAGGGATGGGGCAGCCACAGCTTCTCTGGGCAATCTGTGCCAGTGCCTCATAGCTCTCAGTGAAGAACTTCTTCCTAATATCTAATCTCAGTCTCCCCTCCGTTAGTTTAAAGACATTCCCCCCTTGTCCTGTCCAGGGGATCTAGAAAAAGCCCCTTGGACAGGAAAGCCCCTCTTCAGCTTTCTTGTTGGCCCCTTTTGGTGCTGAAAGGCTGCTCTTAAGGTTCAGTTAGGAGCCCTGTGGTGTACTAGATGTTTGAGACCATGTCTTGCCCTGTCACCAGCCTGAAATCAAGCATCCTGCTGTCTGCTAAATTAGCAGTAAAACCTCAACTGCTTTGTCTGTGTCTCCTCTAGAATATAAGGAAAACAGTAGGAGAAAAGGGTGATTGTCTTTTTATGTGCTTCTGTATACTGATACCTAAATAAACTCTTTAAATTTTCCTCTTGCAGGAACATCATTTGCAACGGGCTATCTCAGCACAACAAGTTTTCAGAGAAAAGAAAGAGAGCATGGTTATCCCAGTCCCTGAAGCGGAGAGCAATGTCAACTATTACAATCGTTTGTATAAAGGAGAGTTTAAGCAACCAAAGCAGTTCATTCATATTCAACGTAAGTAAACAAATACTGATTTTGTTGCCCCTTCCCTCCCTTCTCTTCTCCCCCCCCCCCCCCCTTTATTTGAGTAATCCTGAAAGAATCTTGAGGCCAAAGTTGGTACAATATTTAGATAGTGGAAAGACTCAAAAATTAAAGGGAGATTTAGACATGTGAATTCCAGTTTTTCTTCTTATGGAAGAATTTAAGATTGGAGGGAAATGTGAGGTTTTTCTCGCCACATTTGCTGATACTGTTTATCTGTGTGTAGTAGCTGGCAAGCCTTAATCCTGCCTTTTGGTCATCCAGTAGTATTGATCAAACCTTTTTTTTTTTTTTTTCTTTACTAATTCTGAGAAGGAGTAACTGAACTAGCCTAGCTACCTCCTAGTTGCTTCTGTTAGCCCAGGGCCAGGAAGAGGGGTTGTAATGCTTGCTGAGTGCATCTGAAATGCTTGTTAATTCGAAAGATCTATATAAATGGAGATTAAAAACGTTCAAGAATTTTGGTAGTGAAATCAGCCTTTGTTTTACTGATCTTAAGAGTTCTTAAAGGTCAGTTTCCACTGTGTGAACAGGGGAGTTCGAGCTGTTCCCTGTAGCATGGATATATTCTGGGCAGTGGGTAACAGTTATCTTTATCTGCCTTTTGCCAAAACTGTAGAATTCCCATTCTGTAAGGAACTCTGATCTTATTTTAATGATAAAGTGAAATATTCTTTGCATCAGTTTAGCTTCCTGTGTCTTAAGAGATCTAATTAATTAATCTAAAGTTGTAGGTAATTATAGTGGTCTCTGGATTAATTTTAACACTTTTCTTGGTTGGTGGTCTGTTAACAAGTGACACACATTTATAGTTCAGTCATTCCTTGGCATACAGATCATGGTTGTTCTTTGCAGCATGTTATTCTAGGGGTTTATTTTGTGACTTGGACTTCTCCCAGGAGTTACCTTCATAGCAAAACCTTAGATACATTGATCACAGTGAGTTGTCAGTCCTTACGATAAAACACAGATTCAGTTCTGGGTCTCTGCAGGTAAAACTTGTCATCAGCTCATGGCTATGGTTTTTAGTTGTGTTGAACACAACACAGGATTGACGGGGGTCTGCTAAAGCACTTTAGAGTGGAATGTGGTCCTCTTGCCAGGAAGAGTGTGTTGATAATCTGTTCCTCACACACTTTTTTCAGCTGCCTCAACAAGAGGCTGTTGATATGCATGTGTGTGTCTTCTGCTTATAGACAATTGAAATTGAAGTTAGGCAAAGATTCTTAAGCCCAAACCCAGCTGTATATTGAAGATCCTTGCATCATTCTCGCCAACATGGTGAAGTCTCTTTAGCATGTATTTACAAAATAAGAGGTTTTTGGAAATAATGTGCTGAAGACCCTCTGGCACAGTAGAGGCCATACTGGCAATGTGAGAAATGAGCTAAAAGAAATTGAAGTATTTCTCTCCTTAATAGAATAAACAAACATGCAAGCAAGGCAGGTTGAATTAACTGAAACGAAGCTGCTGAATGAGGAATGTGTTTTATTCTTTTTTTTTTTGTTGTTGGACACTGCCAGAGACATTGTTAATAAACATGTCTAAAAGTGTTAAATGTATTATGCCAAAATGTTCTTTGTCTTGTTGAGACTCACAGTCTTTCTGGACAGAATTACAGAAGGTATTTGAGCTGAAGATAAACATTAGATACTGCTTCAAGATAATTTTCCCACATATTCTAGTTGGAGTAGGTGTGATACAAGGCAGCTTTTATGCTACATAAACTGCTTGGAAGATCTGTTTTAATGCTGAAAGCGCAAAGAGCAACAATACTTGCTTTGGCCCCAGAAGTTATGTAAATTGATAGATGCCAAGAGGCCACATACTGTAATCTGTACTTTACTAGTGATTATTTCTGGCAAGTTATGTCTTGCTGTTCATCTGGTAGCCAAAAGTTTAAGTATTTTTAATTTTACCATTATAATTCTTTTATTTGGACCAGTGGTTCCGTGCTAAGAAAATGTAATTTCTTTGAGGTGTAGATTTCATGAATGAACATGGTTCCAGGTATTAGTTGACCCAGGTAGCACCTACTCTGGTGATTTTTGACATGACAAAACAAAAGCCTGGAATTATTTTAATTATTCCAGTATGTTTAATATTTTTCTAAGAATTGTAGTGTTAGTAACATGGAGATGCATTGTAAGTTATTAATGTGCAGCAAGGAGAATAATTTAGTACACTTGTACCTATGCTGGAATTATAGCTAAGTGGATATAAGCAAATTAGCATCCCTTACAGAAACACAATGGAGTAAAATATATATATGCACACAATAAAATATTTTACCTATGTGTGTATATAAAATTTAATGATACAAAACTAATGCTTTATCATAAGTAATGGAGTCAGATTGTTCAAGTATTGGTCAAAGAATCAAATAATCTTCATTAAGCTGTGTGGGATGAACTCTAGTTGCTCTTTAAATCCGAAAAAAAACCCACAATGAAACAACCACTAACCACCCCCCACCCAGAAAAAAAAACCCAGCCCCACGAGAGAAGTGTGCACATTTCACATAACTGAGTTGGCCATTTTTTATTCATTGTGTGTTCCATGGTTTCAGAGGATGCTGTGGCAGGGTCTATTTTGGCTGTGGGTTTGCAGCCTGGATATGTAAAGTGGGTATTTGCGTGGCACCTCCCCTGCTGAGGTATTTTGGTGCAGGTGGGGGTGGGTGTTGGAAGCTTTGTTCCAGTCAGGTGCTGCAGGCTTGCTGTGAAGGTGATTTCTGCTGCTTTCTTACTGCTTTGGATATTGTTGCTCTGATGTGGTTCTTCATTTGCTCTTGATCAGCGCAGATGTACCTGCCACCATTGCTGCCCACTCCTTTCTTACTGCCAGTGCCTTTCTAATGGCAGTTGTGCTCATGGGTGAACTAACACTGAGAAGTGATGTGTAAGAAAGCTTATTTTTCATGTTTTGGTTAGGTGAACCTCCATATTGATCAGTTTTCTGTCTTGGCTCATTGGACAATGGCTGGTTTTGGCGCGAGCAAAGTGGTAGGAACATGGCTTGCTGGGGAGGGAAGCTAGTGGAACTGCTTGTTTCAATGGTAGCTCACGCCTATGTCAGTGTAAAATGACTGTGGAACCACAGCCCTAATCTAGTTGGCAAAATAAAATTTGTTGATTTGGTTAAGTTTAATGGAATTTAATGCAACTTAACTTAAAAACAGTTAAGTTAGTATAAACTCAGCTCCTATTGGAGCTCAAGTAAACCAAAGCAAGTATCTGACAGGTACTGCTGTCAGGAGTGGTTAGAGTGGCAGAGGATGTAAATAAACTAGGATGTTGGTTGACTTGCTAATTGCTGTTGCAAAGCCAGTTCTGTTTATGTAAGGTCAGCTTCACTGGTAGGATCACTGGAGCCCTGTCCAGCTCTGTAAAAACAAGCAGTGTGGCGAAAAGCAACTGCTTTGGAGTAAGAAAACTAGATTCATTGGTCAACCAGAGGAATCTCTCAGAAATTACCAGAAGAAAGGGATATAGAAGATCCCAGACTGGTTGTGCTTAATACACAAACTAGTTGCAGATCATCTGAAATACAGTGCTTTCTGGGTCTGAGTTTCGTTCATCGCTAGTTCTTGCAGGTGTGAAGGAGCAGTTGCATCTGTTGCTATGGAAGGGGCAGAAATGGGTTAGTGATGGATGGCTACATCACACAGCACATAAATCACTTGTGTCTTGTGATGGCTTTTGAAACCAGCAAGCTGCCATAATAGTGGCCAACTCCAGGATGAAAAATGCTTTTTTTTCTGAAACTGGTACAGTTCACTCAGTGCTTGGGAAAACAAGAAAACTGGTTGGATTGTCACATGAAAGTCTGTTTCAAAGAGTAGTGATGGACAACATTCAGGGAAGGAGGATGCTTCATGCATGTCCCAGAGCTGTAGCGAGCCAGTTTGGGATTGACTAACTCCTTATGATTGCATGCAACATTTAAAGGAAAAGGGATAGTCTTGTATTTACTGAGGGTCATACACCTCTGCAGGCTGCTGAGGCTTTGTGGCCTTCCTGCCTGCACCAAAGCAAGAGGTGGAATGCAAGTATTGCTTCCATTGCTTTAGTGGCATTAACCTGTGGCCTGCATGTAAACCTCTGTTCTTTGAAAGCGGAACTGTGTTGCTAGGTACAGGTCATGACAAATAGCATGAGAACCACTGCCAGCAAAAGAAAAGCATTGCTGGAAGGTATGAGAGCAGGGTATGTGACAGAGTCTACTGCTGTTCTCACAGTGCCAGTGTCAAATAAGACTGGATTTAATTGTTGTAACTTGGTCCTGGCAAGTACATGTTGGATACCTTTAATCTTGTCATTTTGATTGTCAAAATAAAATCAGAGAATCATTTAGGTTGGAAAAGACCTTTAAGATCAAGTCCAATTGTTAATCCAGCTCTGCCAACTCCCACCAGTAAACACTGTCCTTAAGTGCCATATCTGCATGGCTTTTAAATCCCTCCAGGGATGGTTGAAAACACCACTTCCCTGGGCAACCTGCTCTACAAAAAATACTTTTGCAGGGTTGAAATTCAGGATGCAGTTTCTGGTTTTGTTTTTGGTGCTTTTTTTATGATTACAGTTTTGTCAATTTCCCAGTTTTTCAGCACTTCATTTGTTATTCCTGAAGTCTCAAAATGACTGCTAAGAAAGCTGATGTTTTATCAGCAAGTAATTTAAATTTGCAAGTAATAAACTGCATGAAGTTAGGTGGACATGACATGTTACTTAGCCAGTGGTTCACAGGGGCGGATGAACTGCTCCTGATGCTGACTGGGTACTCTGCAAAATGGCTGAACTGGCCAGCAGCAAGATGTGAGAGGGAGGGACACTCCAACTTCTAGCTGACCTGCACTGTAGGAGTGATGGAGATATCAACAGTGCAGTAATCTGCCTTCACTGTTTGGGGTGGAGATCTTGCTTTCTTATTAGTAATATTCATAATGGGTTTCTGAGGATCTTTGGTCTTTGCAGTTGCTTGTTGATGGAATGGTTGGGGTTTTCTGTTCTTGCTTAGTGTCTCCTGCTGGTCTCATCTCACTTGAGCCTGAATGATTTTGTTCTGAAAGGCGGTTCAGGAAGCTGCATGGTTGAAGAACTTTCAGTGACTCTTCTTCCCTCACTGTGGAAATGAAGGCAAGCACACTGGCACTGCTTACAGTTTGCAGGTGAACAGCATCACATCATCTGTCATAGGGATCCTGCTGCTCACTCATAACTGATTTAGAAAAATTGACTTGGAACATTTTGTTTGCAGGGGATTACTGAATTATCTACTGACAGGTTGACGTTTTTGTGGTGTAAGCAACACCTGTCTGAGGGTAAAAAAGCTGTGCTGGACTTTAATGGATTTCTGTGCATTCTAATGTCATCTGTGAGAACATGGTTGAGCACCTCGTTGTTCGAGTAGGGAGACCTGCTTTGTTCCCAAAATAACAGGAACATCTGGGTTAGAAAATTTTGGCCACCTATCTTGACCAGAGTTGTTTGAATGTGATTTCACAGTGTACATTAGGACTATAGTAGTGTTGTTGGCTCTGGGGCTGCTCTTGGGGTGTGAGAAGCTTTTGCAATTTGCATTAATGAAGTTAAGGACTGTGAGGGTTACAGCTCAGGTGGGAGAGTTCACCCCATTTCCATATACAGCTGATGGAATGCGATGCTGGTGCCAACACTGTGCTCCCAGGTGATTTGGCTGGGACCATGCAGGACAAGTTGGAGCAAAGCTTACAGGATGTGAATATTCTATGTAGCAGACTGGTTTCATAGAGGCCAGCACTGATACATACCAGTTGGTCTTGGCTGGTCACTCTATTCTGCATGTTGAACAGGACTGTATGGCAGCCACCCCAGGTGCTGCAAGAGTCTTTCCTCTCAGGTGTGTAGTCCTGGCTGGTGATGCTTTTAATGCAGCTTTACAGAACTATGAATTTTTTAAAAGTTCAATAGATGGCTGCTAAAGGGAGAACTGTGGGTCACGTGGCCAATGACCCAATAACGTGTGTTAAATAAAATGGCCATGCAACTGGTATTACTGAATTAGTATTATTAATAATTCCACTTAATACATATTTTCAGCCCATTATTAGTAATTTCTTCTTGAAATAACTTTTTATAGTATATTTACTCTTGTTTGTGTTAGGCCAGAGAAGGTTTCTGACCAGGTGGTGGTGTCGGTGTTAGTGATGTTAGTACAGTCAAGCAGTGTCTCCTTGGAGAGGTAGCATTTCGCAGCTGAAAATTTGAAGAAACTCCTTAGTAGCACTTCTCAGCTGTATTTGACCAAGTTACCACACACAGCCCAAATAGACTAAATGCTGGCAGTGGCTTGGCTAATTTATTGCATTGGAATACAGAAGAGTGGTCTTGGGCTAGCCTGAAATACAGCAAGAGTATGTTGCTCACTGCCTGTTTGTTAGTTAACTGGTCAAACCATGGGAAAGAAAATACTATAATTTGCTTTAAAGATACCTTTTAGATGTTTTCTTTTGCTCCTGTTTTTTCCTGGTCTTCCAAGTTTTTCTTTTGCACTCCTCTCAAAGCACCCTGGGAAGCACAGTAGCAGAGGTTTTCTTTAAGTTAGTGCTCAGATACAGCCATGAATTAAGAGAGTAAAGATGAGGTAGTGCTATTTGTCTAGTAAGAATATATTTCAACGAGACTTCACTGCTGTTAATACACTAGCTTGTCGATTGCATTGAGTATTGTTGTTGGTGTTTCACCCCTTCAAGGTTTTACTAGGTACAATTAGCATTTCATAGAATCATAGAATCACAGAATGGTTTGGGTTGAAAGGAACCTTAAAGACTATCCAGTCCCAACCCCCCACTGCCATGGGCAGGGTCACCTCCCATTAGACCAGGTTGCTCCAAGCCCCATCCATCCTGGCCTTGAACATTTCCAGGGATGGGGCAGCCACAGCTTCTCTGGGCAACCTGTGCCAGGGCCTCACCACCCTCACAGTGAAGAACTTCCTAATATCTGATCTAAATCTCTCCTCTGTTAAAGCCATTCGCCCTTGTCCTGTTACTAATTCTTGTATGCAACTTGCTCATACTTGTAAATTTAGTTTCTGCTATGTTATCTAAATAACTTCATTCTGCTTTTAGTAGGGTTATAAACTTCAGCTAGGGAAAGTATGGAATTGACTATTGAAGATGAGTAGCACAATGTGCAACAAAGACACTAGCTTTGCTGTGAACTCGGGAACTTACTATTTGGAGTCTATGGAGGAATATTCAGTGTCTACACCTAGAGTTAAGTTGGTTTTGGAGAGAAAGTAACAATTCCCGTCAGATCTAGCGTTTTTACAGTTTGTTGCACAGTTACATGAAGGGGAATAAAAGGGAAAAAAGTTTAGTCGTGTTATGAGACTCCACGCTTGTTGAACTGTCTAAAACCGGGCAGCTGAAATTATATTGGCACTGCTGTGTATGTGCTTTTTCTCCCAAGTCTGAGATTTGAATGAAAATTAATCTTAATTGTTAAGAGTCTTATCATGATATTCGGAAGGAGATGTGTTATAACAGTATTAGGAAGTGGTTTTGCTAGTTTTGCAAAGATGTATTCAAGTTTCTATGCCTCTAGTAATTTTTTCCCTGTCACCCCTTCAAGCCACTTAAAATGAAATGAAACCTCTTTGATTGCCCTCATTCAAAGTCAGAGACAAGCAGCTTTTAAGTACTGTCTTGCAGCTGTTACGCTGGGAAACATCATTATAAAGAAAGAAGTGGCATGGCATTAATGTGCCTTTCTGAAATCTTATCGATTGTTTTTGATTTCTGATTGTGAGATGCACGCTTCTGTATTTCCACAGTATGTCATTTACGAAGCATTTCAGTGTGGTTTGTGCATGTGTATTTTTGTTTCAGCTTTTAATCTGGACAATGAGCAGCCAGATTATGATATGGACTCGGAGGATGAAACCTTACTGAACAGACTAAATCGGAAGATGGAAATCAAGCCGCTGCAGTTTGAAATAATGGTTGACAGACTCGAAAAAGCCAGTTCTAGTCAGGTATTGTCCTGTGTTAAGAAATCACTGAGGTTTTCTGACTTTTGAATTTTCTGGTGGGGTGGTTCTGGGTAGGGTGTTTTGTTTGTTTTTCAGTTTGTTTTTATTTCCTGCTAACAGGATAAGTGGTTTGTGCAAGTGTGCAGTTTTACGGAAATCACATTGCTGTCTCCTATTGTCAGTATAAGCAATTTATTAAAAACAGGCAGGGAGGGAGCTTTTGGGAATGACTGAGGGGGAGCTGTTTTTAAATTTTAATTCCTGATCACAGTGTGTTAAAGAGGACAACTTCCAGCATCTCGTTTTACCTGTATTTGTATGGAAGAAGCTTGTGATCAGTAGGTGTATAGATTTGGCTAGAATCTGAATTCTTTGTTTCACTTGGTACTAGCGGACATTGACTTCATTTGATGTTTGAAGGTTATAAATATAGACGCATAGACAGTAAAGCAACGTCTTTATTAAGACCAGGCCCTTGTAGGAGAAACTGCACAGATGAAACTAAGCTATATTCCAGTTGAGACTCAGAGACTGGTTTCCTTGCTTTAGAAGCGAGTATGAGCTTTTTACCAGAAGGGTGCCAGTATTTTAAGTCAGTTCCTGAGGTGCTGCAGGACGTCAGTGTCTGGAGAAGGGTCTTAAAGCCAAAAACATAACTCAAAAATGACATCTGAAGGATCGGTTTCTGAAAGGCAAGTTTGAAATAGGCAGAGTTATTTCTCAGTGAGATGGATGTTTTGTGGGAGTGAAAAATCCATTGCAGGATCCATAGCTCTGCCTCATTTAGTTGAATGCTATTTGTTAAGAGGCCAAAATGTACTCTTTATGCTTTGGAGTGACTTCAACAACAATTAGGTCTTATGCTAATAAGGTGGGATGTGAAGAAAAAAATTGCACAGTACCTTGGATGATGATACTTACTGAACATGTGGTACCCAGATCTCTTTAGAGCTTTGATGTAGATACCCCTGTTTTGGCTTTCAGTTAGAGTGGTTCTGGTTATTGCTTTTCAAGATCAATTTGCATTATTCTTCTGCTGGCTTCATCTTTCATTCCTTTAGTAATGAAGTCAAATTTAAGAACTGAAAGATGTTTTCCTAAAATAAGAATATGGATGTCTCTCTGTAGGCAGGTGCCTCTGTCTCTTTCACCTGAATGTAAGTAACACTGAATCATTACCAAGGTGAAGAGAATTTTGAACCAGGAAGTACTTATTTAAGGAAGTCCATGATAGAAAATACATGAAGTATAGTAATTGATTCTTACAGGCTCCCACCCCCGCCCCGAGGGTGAAGTGTGTAAGGAGAAATCCCTCTTGGTAAATTAAATGTCTTTGGGACTTCCTGTGTAGTATTTTCAGACCAATGTAAGGGATTGCTGTATGTGTGTTCAAGATGATTGTCATGCTTTTGGGCTACAGAAAATTTTTCGTAAAGTATCTCTGTCCTGAGCTCTGCTAGGAATAGTAAGATAAAAAAAACTCTTGCAGGTTATTGGAGGCTAGGAGAGAAAGAAGTTTGGCTGTCTGGCAGCTTCCTTCCCCACATGGCCTTTATAGTGCTCTTGAATCCCACTTGGGGCTACTACAGAATTCATTTACAGCTGACATGACTTACATCCGTAATATAGTAGTATGCTGGTGGGAATGCTTTCCTTGCCAAGGGGAAGGTTCCAGACATTCCTCAGGCATTTTGATAACCAGATTTAAGCAAAGAATATAGTGACTGCATCTGTGTTACTGGTGGTACTTGCAAAAACACAAGCAAGCAGGGTCACTTTAACTTGTATTTAAGGCAGAGTCCATTTTGGGTGGTTTGTTGGTGTTTTTTTGTTTTGGGGTTGTTTTTTTTTCTTTTTTTTAAAGAAATAATGTAAAAAAGGAAACAAAGGACAAACAAGATTCAAATAATTTTTAAGTAATATTCACAGTGATTGATGTTTAAGTTGTATTTTAGCTAAACACAGTCGTACCAACTTGCATATACAGATTAGGGTATGCTGGTCAGTACGTGTGTTTGGCTAACCAGGCTAATACCCATTCTAGGTAGAATGGGTGCAAAATTGTTTTAATGCTGCATACATTCCTAATCACAGAGGGATTGGTGACTTTTTTTCCTCTTTCTTCTAAAACCAGTGTTTTTTTCTAATTGTGCTGTAGATTACAAGTGTGTTCTCCTGTTCTGGCTGGAACGAACACTTGCATAGTAGCAGTGGCTACACTTGGGATATTCTAATTTTTCTGAAATTTATTGTTTCTTTTTCTGTTTATCCTAGCATAGGGGCAAGATTTAACGTAGTTTGACATATTGCAAAATTGCAAACTTCAGTTGCTCAGTTTATACGTTTCAAATTACGGGAAGATAAACCAGAAGTTGACAGCACTAAGTCATGCTAGAGATACTGTCTATTATTCAGTAATTATTCAGTTTGATTTCCATATAGAAAGTGGAATGCAAAAAGGAAAATAAAGTTATAAAATTCCCTGTGTTTAACTACCTCCTACTGAAATGACTTTCCTAAGAAGTTATTGTCTTTGTTTCTGGGTTGTAATTAATAGGGATAAACCTTTTCTACCACAAAGTAAACATTTGGAGGGGGTGGGAGGGGGGAAATGAAGAAAATAGTTTACTTCAGAATATATTATATCTACAGTAAAACATCTTCTGGGGGAACCAACATTAAACTGCAAAGAATCCTGCATCTCTAATGGCTAATCAATAAGAAACTTCTTTTTAGGGAAAAAAATAGTCAAAGTGATTCCCAAATCATGATCAGCAGGCTGTAGTACGTTATTTATATCCTGTGCTTGTAATTATTTGATTTAATGAAAAATTGATGGAGTTCTAGGCTATGGTATGAAAGCTTCTGAGATGATGGTGGTTAAGAAAAGTCGGGAACTGTATGTTTAACCTAGGAAGACGAGCTGGTGCCTTAAGAACTTCAATTTACACACTTTTTCCTCCCTTTACTGTCTTATACTAGAAAAGGATTAAGTTTATTTATGAAGTGTGTAAGAGATGTGAGTGTAGAGTGACTTTCTCCCTGCACTGCTCCCCATCCCCATCTCAATTGCACCTTTTGAATTTTCTTTTAGCTTGTAACACTTCAGGAAGCTAAATTGCTGCTAAACGAGGATGACTACCTTATTAAGGCTGTATATGACTACTGGGTAAGAAAGCGTAAGAATTGCCGAGGGCCATCTCTCATCCCCCAAATCAAACAAGAGAAGAGGGATGGCTCCACCAACAATGACCCTTATGTTGCCTTCCGGAGGAGAACTGAGAAGATGCAGACAAGAAAGGTAACTCTTTAAGCTTTACTGTTTTAACTTTGTCACTTCAAATCCTGCCGTGATAGGAATCATTTTGATTTCTGTCCAGCGTCGTACAGGATCTGTCCTGTGGTATCCAGTTACAGATCTGATTATCTCTATTAATGGTTGCAATATTGGATGTCCTAGCTAAACTTCAAACCCCCTGGATGGTGCAATCAATGTGTTCATCAGTTCTTCAGAGACAGTTTATAGTCTTGCTTTTTGTAGAAAGCCGAAACTCAAAGGGCGTTTTTTAGGGACTGGCGCACACACTAGTTGTGGGACTTGCTAGGTTACTTACTCTTCCTTTTCTGTGGAAGAGGCGAAAGTGATCTTCCATTTGCCATGGAGAAAACAGTTCCATTCTTGTATTTGTAGGATGATTTGATTTGAACTAGGAAGTATGTAATTAGTCAGCATTTTACATCAACTTTGTACATGTATGTAAACAACCTGTGTGCAGAATCAAGGTGAAAGAAGTGTTCTAGGAACCAAGTCTTGTAATTCTTTGGCTGACAGAACTTCCACTGGGTTGATACAGAATCTGAGCAAAGCATGGGGGGGGGAATGGATGAAAACTTCTTTTTCAGCTTGCTCTTAGAAGTTGAGTTTTGTTTGCTTTTTCTGGCTTTGCTTACCAAGTAGGTCTTGCTTTAAGCAGAGCTGCTTCTGAGTGTACTTGTATGATGGTCTCACTTGCAGCAGCATTATGTAACTTTTTTTGCTATTTATGCTTCACAGGCTTTGCTTTTGACTTAATATTTGTTTAATCTTTCAATAGAATCGAAAGAATGATGAAGCATCTTATGAGAAGATGTTGAAATTAAGAAGAGAGTTTAGTAGAGCCATAACAATTCTGGAGATGATTAAGAGAAGAGAGAAAACAAAACGCGAGCTATTGCATTTAACATTAGAAGTTGTTGAGAAAAGGTAAAATGGAAAATTTTATCTGTAAGAAGTCATTTATAACTCCAAGGTTCTAATTTTCATCAAATAATGTTTGAAACACCTCTTGTAATTATGGATGCTAGTCTTCTGCACACATGCACGGCTGAAGGCTTACATTTTGCCATAAACTTCAGAAGTTAAACCAGAAGGGGTTTATGCAGACTGTTTGCCTGTTTTATGTCTTTCAAATATTTCCCAGTGGAAATGCAGTATATTTTTAATTGTATTTTTTGAGGTACCATTTGGGTGATTATGGAGGTGAAATCCTCAATGAAGTGAAGCTTAACAGACCTGAAAAAGAGATGAGCACAACTACATCCACTCTTCATAATGGAAATCACCACAAAGTTCAAGAATGTAAAGTTAAGGTAAGCTTTCTGTTGCTGCAAGTCTTCTGTTATCTGTTTCATCATTATTTTGGATGTACACAGCAGATGTTTGCACTGGAAAACTGAGTATTAGGCTGCCATACATGAAGGTAGGAGACCAGGACACTGCTATGCTTACTTCCAGTTTAACGTTTGCTGCCTTTCCCACCAGAGTTTTAAAAGGATTGGCTGGCACTGCTCTTTAATGCTTTAAACAGCAGCAGCATTATAGTAGTTAGTCTTCATTTTCTTTCTTGGTTCTGGCTCTTCGTTGTAAGATGATGTAAACATGCATGTGTTCAGTGGTCATCAGGACCTCCATGAGATTGCGAAGTGCAGTGAATTATTTTTCCTTCTGCCTTCAGAGGGAGTCTAGAGCTGAATTTTTCTGATAGCATTGTCTGTGAGTGCTGGCTGGCCCTCAGTGAAAAAAGTCATGAAAATACATGAAAATAATGAAAATGCAACTGTTGCATCTGAAAAAAGTTGCAGGCAACTAATGTTTTTTTAAAAAAAAACACTTCCTGGAATCTGTAGTAGTTTGTTATTACTGGGCTCTTTCTGCTTCTCAGTAATCCTGAGTAGGCGTTTTCATATCTGCCACCACTTGGCCTTCAGTGTTAGGTCAGCAGAAAGGTCAGCATAGAAAGGTGGAAGAGAGTGAGCAAATGTGGTTAATGTTTTTAAAATGACTACTAAAGAATAAGGTTTGGGATGGTTTTCTTGCAGTTAATGCAGGCAGTAATTGCAAAATTAACTGTTTCCAATCTTAGCATAATTTTAGTATTACAAATGGTTGTTCTGCTTCTCTTGTTTCTACTTCTTCATATCGTGTTTCCTTTAACTGTTCTTTAAGCTATAAGTTTCTTTTGTCCTCCTTAGGAGTTATCTTTGCTTTAAAACATAAATACTAGATGGTAAGGTACTTAAAACAAACAAACCCCTGAAACAAATCAAAACCAGAAGTCAAAGTTAGCCATTTTAATGTCACTATCACAGTTAAGCTTACTGAGCTGAGTACAGAACAGAAAAAGGGTAAGACCTGATGTTATACTGTTAATGTGACAGGAAAAAAAAATGCACCCTACTGTGAATGAAAACATATTTTTGAGGGAATAATCTGAAATGCCAGTTATAAAATGCTTGGATGTGAGGCTGGAGTGTTGAAGACCGTCAAAAGTTTGTATTTAGCAGCCACGACACCTAGTGGGCATGGAATTGAATACAAATCCCTCGCCTTGGTTCTCGTGCAGCAGTAGTGTTACACCTTGTGTTTCTCATCTGCGATGGTGAAGCTGAGCTCCATTACTGGAGTTTCACTCAGACAGTTGTTAAGTGGTAATATGGGGTAAAGTTGAACACTTTTTCAAAACTGCACTGGCTTTTACTTGTAATTGAGAATTTTGCATGAGAAGTAATCTTCCATTTAATTTAAAAGTTTAATAGTATTTACATTCAAGTGAATGGTTTAATATTGATGGAGTTGCTTACTAGAGAGCGTTTGTGTTAGCAAAATCTGACATAGCAAAACCAAATAACATCTCAAAAGATGTACAAACTATCTGAGAAATGTGGAACAGATTAGATTGTTTCTTCTGAATGTATCTGAGTGGTTCAGAAAATTGAAAGTGCTTGCCACAGAAAACTGAGATTTTTGTAAAATAATTGGAATAGGACTTCCAATTGCAATATCCTGAGTGTACTGCAAAGCAAGAAACCTCTTCGGCAGTCATATGGCTTGAAAGCTGTTAAGTTGTGTATTAATAAAAATAACTAAAGATGATCAGAGGTAAAGTTCTAGGTTTTTTAATGTTTTGAGTGAATTTTGCATTATGTGTCTGAAATAATGTTGCAGGTACTGTTTGTTGAGAGGGTTTGGAAGCTAAGCAGTCACATCTTAAAGTAATTAACACTGCCTCTTCTCATGCCTTAATTTTTTTAATTTTTTGTTTTCAACAAACAGCATCCTCATCACTCATCTCTAAAGGAGGAGGTGTCAGATGTTGTACGTCAAAAGAAGAAGTATCTAAAGAAACCTAAAATAGAGTGTGTAGTAACTCCACAACAGCCCTCTGCTGAGCCCTTGCCTGTTATCAACAAGAGTGACATTAAACAGTATGATTTTCACAGTTCAGATGAAGATGAGTTCCCACAGGTAATATAATACTCTTACATAATCTCAGTGTACAAAAGGTAGACAGTTCAGTTTGGCCAGTCTAGCCTGAAATAGAGAATAACTCTGTTGGACAGTGGAGTTTGTTTTCAAGCTATGCTTCAGAGAAGCTTGCATACCCTTACCTATATAAGGGTAGCAGTTTATATAATATGAACTTGTATAAGAAATAAAAAACCTAAACATAAACATGGCAATTGGAAGAATGTCTTTGCTTTCTGGCCTAGGTACCCTCACCAGTATCAGAAACGGAAGAAGAAAATGATCCTGATGGACCTTGTGCTTTCAGGAGAAGAGCAGGATGCCAGTATTATGCTGTAAGACTGCTGTGGGATTAGTGTGGTGGTTTGTGTTGGGTTGGGGGTGGGGGATGGTATTTTGTTTGTTGGTGGGAGTGTTTTGGTGGTGTGGTTTTGTGGTTTTTTTTTTGTTTGTTTTTAGTTTTGTCATGGGTTTTTTGTTTTTGTTGGTTTTTTTTTTTGTTTTTATTTTAGATTGGCACAGTGCTAATGTAATAGCTCTTCTGTTCCCACATTTACCACCAGAGCTTTGATTGTTAGGTGAATCCAAAGACAGTCTTTTTTAGTCTTCATGAAGATTATTCTTGCTGTACTGTTCCTCCATGATTATCTGAAGGGATATCAAAGGCCTTCAGCCAGTGTTAAGAAGGGAGAGATTTTTTTGTGCCCCTCAGCCTTCCTAGCATGTCCGTCCTTCCCAGCTTCTAGAGTTTGTTAGATTTAGGTACTAGTTGTCCCAGTACTTGGGCCAGCTGAAAGGTCATGCCAGGGCATTGAGTAGTCTGCTGTTGAAGCAAAAGGCTTTAATCCGTTTTTTTCATATACTTAAGTAAAAATTTTCTTTTGAAATTGTTGCAAAGGGTAGATATAGTGAAAAACATCAGGCTGCCATTGCAAGAATGTGCAGAGGACAGATTTTAGATGTCCTGTCATCATCTCAGGACAGAGTCACAGAATGGTCAAGGTTGGAAGTGACTGCTAGAGTTCTAGTCCAACCTTCCTGCTGAAGCAGGGGAGCCACTGACAGTGAAGGGGTTTGTTTTTTGTTTTTACCAAGCACGTGCTTACGGGTGGGGAGCTTTAGGCTGCAGAGGACCAAGAAAGGCGACAAAATGCTATAATGATTCTGGCTTTTCTTTGCTTGCATCCCATGGGAAGTATGAAATTACATGACAGACTGATCATGTATTGTGTAACCTTTAAAGCCAGAGAAGTCACTTAATCACTGGATGGGCTGTTTCAGAAGCCCAAATATCCCCCAGAATACCAAAATTATAGCATGGGCATCTTGCAGAAGTTGTCCTGAAGTTCTTTGTGCAGGTCAGATGTGTGCAACTGTTCCTGCTTCGCATTGTCCTGGTATGTTGTCTGTGGTATTCTAGAAGCGACTAAAACTTGATCCTTCCAAGAATATGTCATTATTTTTAACTACTCCTCTTCTTTTAGAGTTGTATTAGTGGGTTATTTAAGACAGTACTTGTCTGTTTGCCTCTCATTTTTTGTGTGGCCTCTTAACTTCCTTGTTCTTTCAGTTTGGTTGGATTTCTTTTTTTTTTTTCCTGTTGATTGCTAATCTCGTAACCGTTTCTGCCTAGCTCCAGAGCGTTACCTGAGGCTTGCTTAGAATATATCCATCCCCCCCCCTTTTTTTCTTAGTTAACTCCTGTGAGTTAACTCCTTTGCAAAAGAAGTTGAGACAACTGAAAACTTGTATTTTCATTCTTTTCTGTTATTTCTCAGTTGCTGTTTAGAAGGAGGCTAACAGCCTTAATGTTAGCCTATTAGGTTTGTGTTTTTTTTTTTTTTTAACTGAAGCCATCTGAATTTTGGTTAACTCTTAACATAAATTCATTGAATCTACAGCGCTACTGGTGCTGTAGGTTTAACCTGATCACAAAGATAGTTAAAGAATATTTATTAACTTGTCATAGAAGACGTTTCAGACAGTAGACAGCATTTCTGCCTGTAAAGATTACACAGTTTTGAGTTCACAGTAATAACAAAGGTATTAATGGAGTAATAAAAATGCCCTAAGGTAAGCTGATACAGAAAATACACTGTCAGGATCCAGTAACTGAATCATAGAATAGTTAGGGTTGGAAAGGACCTTAAGATCATCTAGTTCCAACCCCTCTGCCATGGGCAGGGACACCTCACACATAGGTATTGGAACCAGGGCCATTCAGATCAGTGTCTGTTCTCCTGGACAGTGTGTGTTTTATGGCTAAAACTAAACTGCAAAATCAGGAACCCCTTTTGAAGTTACCTACACTTAGGTTGCAAGTTGTCTGAGTTGGGAATTGTTGCTTTGCTTTGTATACGTGGTGATTCAGCAGGGCCTTTGATAAATGAACGGGTCTGTTTGGTATTTTCTATTACAGTAAGTACTAAAAGTTAGTCCTCTTATAGTGTGATACTTGCACTGGAGCTGTGCGTACAGTAATCAAGTAAGGAGGATTTTCTGCTTTGTGAGTTCACTTTTTTTTTTAATTGTCCAAGTTGTTTTATATCTAAGCATATTAATTGTTGGTTCTGTAGGCATTTTCTGTACTGTAGCCTGTGCATGATAATCACTCGGTAGTGAAAATGAAAATTTCCTTTTTTCTTTACAGCCTCGTTTGGACCAAACTAATTCTTCATATGAAAACTCAGAATTGGCAGAATTGGACAAACTGAGGTTCAGGCATTGCCTTACAACCCTTACAATTCCAAGAAGATGTATAGGATTTGCAAGGAGACGAATTGGCAGGGGTGGAAGGTACAGTTACAGTATTTGTACTCTACATGCCTCTTCAGAGGACAAAAGCATTAGAGAGAGATAAACTAACATCTTTTTTCATCCTCTTTAATCAGGGTTATAATGGACCGAATATCCACAGAACATGATCCTGTCTTGAGACAGATTGACCCGGAAATGCTGAACAGTTTTTCAAGCTCTTCCCAGACGTTAGACTTTTCTTCTAACTTTTCACGGACCAATGCTTCCAATAAACATTGTGAAAACAGACTGTCCCTTTCTGAAATACTAAGCAATATCAGATCATGTCGACTGCAGTGTTTTCAGCCAAGGCTACTAAATCTACAGGACAGTGATAACGAAGAATGTACCTCAAGGAAAACAGGGCAGACTGTGAACAATAAAAGAGTCTCTGCAGCATCTGTAGCTTTATTGAACACCAGCAAGAATGGCATATCAGGTAGGCAAGGATTTGAATTCTTCTGGAACTGAAAATACTGAATTCCAGTGTTTTCACTTGTGACTGGACTGATAGTATCTTCAGGAGTGATGTGTACCTAAACCAGAGACACAAGCTAATTATTTTGTATTTCTTAGGATATACAGAAGCTTTTCACAAACAGTTCTCAGTAGAATCTTGATAAAGTGCTAGACTTAAACGTGCATTACTCAAAGGAGGGATTCTGCTCATATTTAAGAATTGCTTAAGTGTATGTGATTGATTCTTAAAGACTTTAATTGGTCTAACCTTTTCAAGGAGAAAAGAATGCTCTTTCTAAATGAAAAAGAAAAGCAGTGTGTTTTTCTTGTCAGTTTTGCCTTTTGACTTTGCCAGACCATCTGCTGAACAGGCATGAAAAAGTCTGGAAATGGCTCTTTCTGTTGGTATCTGTCATAGTAAAAATTTTGAAACTGAAGCATCCAGTGATGCATCTTCTCTGTTGATTTTTCAGAAAATCATCAGCCACTGTTTAAGCGTGATAGGAGATTGCCTTTTTGCTTCAATGTTGTCTCTTAACTCTCATAGCTAGTGCAGCATCTCTTACTGTTCAGCTTTATGATCCTATAGCTCTGGATGAGCAAGACATATAACATAAATTGTCCAAACAGTTTTACATTCAAAAAAGAAGTGTCTTGTAGTATTTTCACAAGAATGTAAAATATATGCAGTACTTCTTATCTTTGTTAGCGATTTTGGGTATAGAAGCTCTAAACCTGGAATAAAAGCCACCAAAAGAAAAAAACTGCATTAAGCTTATATTAGCAGCTTTTGCATCACTTGCTTCATGTACTATAAATTGTGATTGCTTAAGTTTTAACATTGTCACTTCTTTGTCATCATAAAAGAATGTACAGTTCTTTAAAAGGCTGAACAATTGGACATATGCCAAGAAAGGTATTACCAAGGATAAGAAGCATTTGAGTATTTTCCTACTCTGTGTGTATACAGGACTAAGTATTGTAAAACAGGATAATTGGGTAATAGGCTGATTATGAATCCCATAATTACCTTTATACGGATGTGGAGCAGTTTGTCTCTTTTAAAGTCAGTTGCAGAATTGGGTATTTAATTTTCAATAACATACCTTTAGAACTCATGTGTTAAATTTCTTGAAGACAAAAGCAGATTTCTCTATGTTACGGTTTTAAAAGACTGAGCATTAGCTTATCAAGTAACAGCAGTGTAGTACTGACACAGTGGAGTAAATACTCAGTGCTTAATAGTTTTATAACTCTTCAGTATAGTCACTGTAAATTTATATTGTTCTCTCATGAAAAGATCTGCACAAGAGTATTTTTCCGCTGTAAGAAGCAAACAGGCATAATGTGCTGTGGTCATGTTTTGTATATTTTTTTTTTCTGTAAGGAACTTGAAGGTCTGGAGAGTTGCACGTGTAGCTGAAGGGGCAGTTTTGTGTGATGGGATTATTGATAAGCATCAAGAGATTTCTTGTTAAAGCAATTGCAGAAAATAGGAATGCTGTTTGTCACAGTTAAGGATGTGAAACGTGGACTGTAAGCTGTAAAGAACGATGGAGAATTTGCTGGTAGCTCTTTATATAACAAGAGCAAGTAAGATTTCCATTTGCATGAGTAAATTGTGATGACACCAAGGTAAGGAAAGGTCTTAAAAAGACACAGGTGAAGTCGATTAGATTTTTTTTTCTGTAAAATTTTTTGTAATTATCATGTCAGTTACTTATGGGATTATCCAGATGACAAACTTCTGAGACTTTGAATTCTGCTGCAGTGAGATTTTTGTGTTTCTCTGAGGGTGGAGTCTGCCTTAAAAAACTTGGAGAATATTTTGGGATGGAAGCTGGATATATCTGATTTTAATAGTATAATAGTGTGTGAAAAAAATAAATGAAAGAAAAAGGTTGGTTTTTTTTCTAAATACCCAAACCTGGCTTTAGTGTAAATGAAGACTGCAGCAGCAGCAAAGAATTCAGTAGCTGTAGGAAAGATGGCACACCATAAAAAGACAAAAATGAGAACAGCATTTAAAGAAAACAAAAATGAAAACAGCATTTAAGCAGTGTCTTCAGGGAAGGGGTGGCCTGTGTTTTGGCAGGGAACTGTGTATACATAAGAAAGTAAGCCCTTCGTGATTCAGGTTAATGCCATCAGCAGGAATTAAACCTGAATTGTTGGTGCTACATGTCAAATTAATGATAGATCTGACACGTCTACAGTGGACTAACACTCGTGCCCCAGGGTTTTGCGCTATTAGGGAAAGAGAAAGAATAGAGTAAAATGCATTTTAATGATGGAGGAACTATAGAGAAATATCTAAAAAAAAAAAATGCCTCAAAACAAGTGACAGATCTTAGACCCTTTGTGAAGGAATAGTAATTAGCTTCTGTTACATCATTCTAGAAATCATCTGAAGAATACATTCAGATGAGAACAGAGATAACTCAGTAGTTGAAGTATGTTACACAGGGAAATAAGTGGTTATGGAAGATCTTTTTCTTTACAAACTCAACAAAACAGATCCTGTAATTCTGCTAAAGGATGAGATACAGTAGACAGCAGAGTTCTTAACCAAATAACTGAGACAGCAAGAGACACTGCTGTTAGATTTTCTTGTTAGTAAATATTGAGTAAACGTTAAAAGGGCTGGTCCAAGGCTGGCTGTACATTAAATTGAGCCACAGGTACTATCACTGCATTTATTAATGTAATTCTGTTTGCAAGGTGATTGTTGAAATCAGTTGACTTTATAGCATAAAGCTGCTTCTAGAGGAAATAATGACAGTAGTGATGCTGATTGCTTTTGTTTTTTCTTTTAGTTCAGAGAAGTCTTGGAGTTGCTTGCTTTGTTTTTTGGTGCACTAGAATATTTAAACTTACCTCTGATTTATATTTTTTGCTTCTATTAAAAAGTAGCTATTTCTCTGGTATTTCCTCAAATGCTGGACATTGTACAGAGAGACTGATTTTAAAAATGTGTGACTAGTCTTGTCTTGAAAGTGCCTAATGAGTGCATGAATAAAGAACCACTGTTTCAAGCTAAATTATACTCTTGCTCATGTTATAAGAACTGCAAGTGGGAAGACTGAACTTGAGGAACATTTAAGAGACAAGGTCACTGAAACAGTTGAATCCCTCTGATCAGTTGTGTAAACTTTTTGTAATCTTACACACTCTATCTGGAAAAGTAAATTTATGTTTTTGCCAGAGATCCCTCCAGGTGAATTCTGTTTAATCTAAAATGAGATGAGCTGATACAACTGATCATCAGGAGAGACTGAGGAAGGAGGATACCAGGAATTTGTAGAAGGTACTATTTATGACAGCTGAGTAAGACTTAAGCTGCCTGCTGAATTCCTGTAGTGCAACTCAGCTGATTTTTGGGTCTGAAGTAAGAAGTAGTCTTTACACAAAATCTTCAGCAGTTTTCAGTCTAGTCAGGACATTGTATTTGGCTTTCAGTCCACTTCAGCTGCCAGTTCCAATGACTTGCTCAAATAGTTACCTGTTCAGTTACCATGTCCCTAGCTACAAAAGACAACTGCAGATGATGGCACTCTTAGTTGAAGAATTCTGCTTATGGAACAAGCTTTTGCCTTTTGGAGGCTATTTTTTCCAGAATTGTGTATCATGTAGAAGTAATTAATGAAATACCCCTTTTGGGGCAGCCTGAAGGATGATCTCTGATTAAAACCTTCAGATTCTAAGATAAGTGACATAATATTCCAAATCAAAGCTGTCAAGGAGAGGGGCCTGCAAGACTTGATTTCACATTGGTGTTCAGTTTTGATTTGTTTCTTTGGTTTTGTTTGGGTGTTTTCTGGGAGGTATTTTTTTTTTTTGGTGAGGGTTTTTTTTTGTGTATGTGTGTGGTGGGTTTTTTGTTGTTTTTTTTGTTGTTGTTGTTGGGTTTGGTTTTTTTTTTTTTATCCTGTTGTAGTATTTCAGTTAAGTCAGGCTAGATAAAACAGAAAATCCTGATACTGAGCAGTGGAAGCTAAAATTCTGGTGAATAGAACCTTTTGTAAGAAGTATAGAACACTTGAACTTAACTATGACCTTAAAGGCTACTGTGGGACATAGTAGAAGCTATCTGTTCCTTTTTCCTGTAGGGACCTGTCAGTTGTTTAATTTGGCAGAAGCAAATGATACTAAAAGTGCTGATGAACATCTGCTGTTTAACAAGGCTAACAGCTGAGTTCAGCCTGATCACTGAATAAATACCTGGTAATAGGCAGCGAACTGAGTGGAATTTAAACATGTACAAGCAGAGTAGGAGATAATTACATCACTAGGGTAGTCTTCCCTGTACCTTGTAATGGTGTTTCATGAGTTTGTGGTCTGTGTCAAATGGCGAAAGAAGGGACATTGAAAACACAGAGTTGATACATAGGCTAAATTGGATGATCCTCTGAAGTAGAGACAGCTTTTTATATTGTCTTTACAGTCCACAGAAGAATGCAGCTTTGAATCTAGATGAATACCCTGTACAATTCTATGATTCTATTGCAGATAAATAATAGTTACTGTAGTTACTTACGGCTAAATGCAGTTCAGGTATTTCTTTGTGCTGTATAAGCTTGTTCTAAAACATACTTCTTTTTATAAAACAAAAGACATATTCTGGAATTTACTATCTCAGAACTTAAAAATAGACATATATATGTAATGTTCCATAATGCTGTTCTTGGCTCTGTTGCCTTTAGTAACACAACATGTTTTGGGAGACTGTTTTGAGGGAACTTAGCAGTTTTATCTGACTGAATTTTGAGTTAATGCTTTGTCGCAATAGGTAAGAATCTTTAAGGACAACAAAGTAAAGCTAAATGTGAAATAAACTTGATTTTAGAATATGCTGGAAATGACAGTATCCCTAGAATCTAATAACAGTAACTGTGTAAGTCAAGCCAGCTGGGGTTAAACCATGACAAAGTCATATTTTTAAGTGCCCTCCTCATGTTGCTGAAACCTGTTTTAATAATGTAGAAGTAGAGAACAAGTTTTAGTACTAGTTTCTAAACAGTCATAATCTTAATTCTGGTATTTATTCAGTATGGAATCTCAGGACAGTCACAGGTGTTACAACTAGTAAATGAAAGAGAGAACCCTGAAAGATACTGTATTGCAAAATACACTTTGTATTTTAATGTTAGCTGAATATCTCTTGATAATATGATATTCCTGCAATATCCAGGTGTTTGAGATGAATGACAACTCGGTATTTGGAAAATATCATTCAGAATAAATGGGTGAAATGCAGTTAATGAGAACCTTTGAAAAGTGAGTTCTCTTCCTTTTAGGAGAACTTAGTTCTTAGGTTAGCATCAACTGCACAAAACTCAGGGTTTTATCATGAAACATTTGACAGTATTTACAGTTTATCAAGTGTTCAGTTCTTTGAGGAGAGAATATTGAGAATAGCTTTTCTGACTTAACCATTCCTTTCACTTGTTGCAAGTATGATGCTGCTGGGGTTGCATTAACCTGGTTCTCCTAAGTAAACAAGCTTATTAGGTCACTCCATATAAAAAAAAAAGGGCAGAGAAAATCCTGTTCAGGTAAAAATTAAGCATTTCCTTCAGGAGGAAAACATGTGAAATAGGAAGGTCAAACTGGATTTGCTAAACAAACAAGAGCTTTGATATTTCCAAACATTTACTGAAGGTTAGACCTGGAGGTTAGCTTTGTTATTGTATATTAGTTTATAGCCCTCTCAGGAGGGTTGGTATGGAAATGTATACAGACTATTTAAATGTATAAATTTGGTTGTGCCATTGAAGCAGGTGTTCCCCAATGCCAGGTGTATGGTTACTTTATAGAGCCCATTCTGATGTCGGAGAACAGGACAATAATAGGACTGTAGGAAGGGGAGTTGTACAGCAATAAATTCCCAGCTCAGCCCAGTGTACTTCTTCCTCAGCTAAGGTTTCTAGGACATGCTTGTTTTCTGAAAGCCAGGATAAAAATTTCTTTAAAATTTTGCCTAAAGCAAATGGAGAGAAAACCACCAAAGCCAGAAACTGCTTAAAAGCAATGAAAGCTATGAATTCTTTTGTTATAAATTGATTCAATGCTAAAAGAACACAACAAACAAATTAGCTTGACCTCTTCTTTATGTAAGAATATCTGAAGATCTTTGCAAGCATCTAACACAGTGTGTGTTATTGTCAAGCACTTGTTATCCAACATGGATGCAGTCTCGCATTTTAGATGTATTTGCTTTGTGCAGGCCTGTTTAACACTGATTTCGCTTTCTTTTCTGTAGTAACAGGGGGTATCACAGAGGAACAATTTCAGACACATCAACAGCAATTAGTTCAAATGCAGAGGCAACAACTTGCTCAGCTTCAGCAGAAACAGCAATCTCAGCATTCCTCACAACAGACACATCCAAAAGCACAGGTAATGCACCTTGAATAGTGTCACACGCTAATATCTTCTTTTTTGCTGTCTTTTTCATCTCTCCTACAAGCTAAATATACCATCTCAGTAAATTTTGGAATGAATGTTAGAAGGCTTTGAGTCAAGGTGCTTTTCCAGTTTGCCCAGAAGGCAGCTTATATTGTAGCTAGTGAAAATACCTTGCTTTCACTTTTTGATTTGGAATGAGATATTTTACATTTCACCATCAAAACCTGTTTTGTTGTTTTTTTTTAAGTTATATATCATGGCAGTGTTATTAAAAGTTGAGTAAGAGACTTCATATTTTAATGTGTTAGTGGTGTCCACAGAGTCAGTCAGTGTAGAAATAGTGCTATTTCTGCAGTTTCTACTATTTTCACTAATTTAGTCCTCCTTTGTGTAAGTGCTCCAAAGAGACTTTTTTACTAAAGCTACTTCATGAGGTAATGTATTCTGTTACAAACAGATGTTGAGTACTAAAAATTGGTAGCTTATGAGAGGAAAAATGGAGTTTTGCTTATTTAGTTGGATTCCTTCCCCTCCCCACTGCCAGTGTTACTACTTCTGTCTTCTAAAAGAATCACATTTTTTCCTCTGTAGTGCCTTGCAAGGGAAGAAGATCTCTTTTTCTGTCAAACTTAGTTTTCTATTAGTTTCTTACTAAGAAAATATAAAAGCTGTTGCTCTTGTCTGTTAATAGGAAAGCTTATTTTGAGCATACTGTATCTAATTGCCAGTCCTGTTTGTCCTTCCCCTCAGTGTTTTCTACTTTGATTAACTGGGGATTCTGTATTGGCAGTTGCTCATTACAGTTTTTGTAAGTATAAAGACACTATACCAGAACATTTAAACAAAAGGAATTAATTCTGGATTTTTAAGACACTTTGTCTGTGCAGAGTCATTTGCATAGTTAATAGAAATTCAGATTCAGATTGTTTCAGCCATTGCAGAGCATCTTCCCAGTACTTACCATTATTTTAGAGAAACTGGACTAATAGGAGATGTGGTGGCAGTTATGCTGTGATACAAGTTACTCTGTGAGAATGAATGTAACATAAATATTGAAAATTCTTTAGACTTGCAGTTGTATTTGCTGCCTAGAGACAGAAGAGAGAAGGAAACTTAAGACTTGGTAATTTTCGTAGAGGAGGCATGGCAAACACAGACTCCTAGAATGGTTTGGGTTGAAAGGGACCTTCAAGTTCATCTAATTCCAACCTCCCTGCCACGGGCAGGTACACCTTCCACTAGACCATGTTGCTCAAAGCCCTGTCCAACTCGGCCTTTAACATTTCCAGGGATGGGGCAGCCACAGCCTCCCTGGGCAGCCTGTGCTAGTACCTCACCACCCTCACAGGGAAGAACTTCTTCCATAAATCTAATCTAAATCTTCTCTCTCTTAATTTAAAGCCATCCCCGCCTTGTCCTGTCTCACTTGTAAAAAGTCCCTCTCCAGCTTTCTTGTCAACCCATTTAGGTTCTGGAAGCTCTGAGGTCTCCTCAGAGCCTTCTCTTCTCCAGGCTGAGCAACACATTACAAAAGTGATCTGTCATGCCAAGAGCTGCATTTGCCATTGACTGGCTGAATCAGGCTGGACTTACTCAGCATTCATTTGGACACTAATTTTCAACTTCTCATCAGACTTGTGATATGGAAATATTTAACGTTACCGTGAATTACAGAATCACAGACTGGTTTGCGTTGAAAGGAACCTTAAAGGTTCTAACACCCTGCCATGGGGTTACATTTAGAAGATGACACTAGATTACGTGTAGAAGATTTATTTATTTATTAGCTCCTAATTGTGCACTATAGCAATCCTAACAGAGTGTTTAATTTTTTTTTTGGATAATTATAATGAAATATTTTTTTAATTCCCACAGAGCTCCAGCACCTCTGACTGTATGTCAAAAACACTTGATTCAGCCAGTGCCCACTTTGCTGCATCTGCAGTGGTTAGTGCACCTGCTCCTGGTCGCAGTGAGGTAACGAAGGAACAAAACACCAGCCACAACAATATTAATGGTGTTGTCCAGCCTTCAGGTGATGATTTCTTAAAACTCATGGTCTATTGTGAGATAAGAATGTGTCAAGTGATCTTATTTCTGATTTCTAAAATACTATTTAATAAAATAATCAGCTATATTAATCGTGACACTTTTAAATGCTGTTGTGCAGTGGCATATAGGTTAGTGTGGCAATAAACCTACCAAATGCTCTTTTACATTGGAAGAGCATTGTTTCTGTCTTATTTTGTAGTTTATCTTTTAATAATCTGTTATTATCAAAAGTGTGACAGTATCTTAAAGAATGTATGAGTGTGTAATTAAAAAAATCAATTGCTTAAAACATTAAGTACTTTAAGAAGGAAATAGAAAAGTTGCTACTTTATTTGGTCATTATCTCGCTTGTGTATTCAGACAAAACATACTAATCAACTACTACTGTCAACTGTCTTAAAATTACTGTAAGTTTCAGGTTTCATTGCATTTAGGATTCCTCCCAAGTTCAGGCAGAAGTGTAGATGTTGGTGTTCACTGCCTCCCCCGCCTCTTTCTGAACCTCCATTACCAGAAGGCAGTAATGCTAGTCACGCTGCTGCCACAGCCATGTTGCTGAGACGCAAATGTTATTTGGCATTTGACTGCCATAAAAAATAAATGGCTTTTAGAGAAATTTGTTGTTTTAACAGCTAATGGTGTAATTAGCTTTACAGACCTTCTGTCAGGCTGGGTTAATGATAATATGAAATGAATAGAGGGTAAAAAACCCACAACTGAATAAAATCAATACACTGGAAGAGTTCCAGGAAAGAAAAAGACATCTGTGTATAATTCTGTAAGATCATATCTGAGAGGATAATACTTTGAGGGGTGTAAGAAGAGGTATGTAGTAATGTGCTGTGCAGATACATGGTACACAGCTTTATGATTGTTGAAAACCATTGCAAATATTTTACAAATGAAAGTAGACTTCTGTTACTGTTCTAAAGCTGTAAATGACGATGTAAAGTAGCTATTCCTATTTAGGGATAGGAAGACTTGCAAATGAGGAAATGTTAGCTGAAAGAAGATTCTTCTTTTTCAGGAATGAGAATCTAGGGAAAATGTATGTAGTTTCCCTATAATGAAAATCAGAACCGTGACTAGCTAGAATAGCAAGGTGCAATTTGAGAACCTCTGGTTTGAATATATGCTGTGAAACCTGAGGTTTCTCACAGCTCAGGAGTGCAAACGGGCACTACAGCATAATCTAAAGGAGTCTACTTTGCCTAGTCTTAGACCCCTACTTTTGCTGACTTGAGAGAGACTGGTCCCCCCCTGAACCTCTTCATATTGCCAGCAGGACAAGGTAGGAGGTGAGGGGGTCATTCAAAACATCAGAATTTGGCTTCACTGTCAGTCTCTGAGGTTGCCTGACTAAGGTATTCCCCATTCACCTTACTTTTATGGGGCATGCTGCCCCTTTATGATTCCTGGAAAGAGGTGTACAAAGTTGAGCAATATAAAGGTTCTTTGTAATACAGTGACTTCTTCACTTGCTGATGTTCTTGTGAAAAATAGTATTTCTAGTGTTAACTAGAAATATTTCTGAAGTTTTACATTTTCTGTATCTTCAAAAAACAGATTCTTGCACAATTCCAGTGGCATATATACTTAAAGCATATAATCCTTGAGGTTAATGTTTGGCTTAGAATCTGACAAATGGCATATTTGTAATTAACACTGTTTGTTTCATAACAGGAACTTCTAGAACGTTGTACTCCACCAACATGGCTTTATCATCCAGCCCAGGGATTTCAGCTGTACAGCTTGTAAGGACAGTTGGCCACACCACCACAAACCACTTAATTCCAGCATTGTGCACAAGCAGCCCTCAAACACTTCCCATGAACAATTCTTGCCTGACAAACGCAGTGCACCTCAACAATGTCAGTGTTGTTTCTCCAGTCAATGTGCATATCAATACAAGGACTTCAGCACCATCGCCAACAGCCTTAAAACTTGCCACAGTTGCTGCCAGTATAGACAGAGTGCCAAAGGTAACTCCTAGCAGTGCCATCAGCAGTATAGCACGGTAAGTGTTTGGCAGACTGGAGCAGTTGTAAGTTACATTTGTGCTGTGTAAATGTCTCCAAGGATGTCTCTGCAGTGCAGCACCAAGAGGAATTGTTTACACCTCTGAGAGATTCCTCAGTATAGCTTCAACCTCAAAAACATCCACCTGCTGGTATCGTCATTGTAGCTGTGACAAACCACAAGAGAATTTTGCAGATAAACACCCAAATAATTTGCACTGATTTTAGGTACCAGTAGTTTTGGTGAACTTCCACTGCATTTAAAATGGCTTCATTTTTAACAGTTTCCATTTGTCCCTTCGCATGCAGCACTTTCAGGTAGTGTCTGTTAAGCTCTATGTGTGTTCTCTTTGTAACTGTGTATCCATATTGTAAGGTGCAGCTGACATGCACCTACTTTATACATACATGTGGGTATATGGGTTACATAATTAAGTAAACAGTAAACCACGTATGTGCCAGCCTACGTCTTATGCATATAGATAGATATTTATTCTCATTGAACAGCAGCACTGTTATTTCAGAATGCTTAGAGGGTATTTCACAGGAGTGGCAGGAGCCTGCAGTTGGCTAAGTTTTTTCTGAAAACTACAATGTTGGGGCTTTGTTTTCAGTCTGTGCTGGATTGTACGATGGGTTTTTTCAAAACGTCACATTTGTTTATGAATAAGAAAAGAGAAAATCAGATATTAGCGAATGTGGTTTCCTGACTACTTCATAATGCGTCTGGAGAGGTTAAAAAGAGCTTTTTGAGATGCAAAATTGAAGGTATAATTTAGTTGCTGCATATATCAAGATAAAGGTATTTTTTAAACTAACAGTTGTGCCTTAAAGCATACTTGTATATCATTAATGTGTTTAATTTTTATTTCCCCCTAGTCAGAGGGGTATTTCGAGTCATGGCGGCAAATGTCATGAAAAATACCACCTTAGCCAAATAAGTTTTAAGCTCCTCTACAGAGAATGATAATAAATTGGAAAAACATTTAAGATTTCGTGCAGTTAGTACTAAAGCAGAATTTAGCAGAATTTAGTGTGTGGGGAGGAAATTTATGTCAGAACAATGCTTTGCTCACTGACAGAATAACTGGTATTGAGTCATCATGGTATATCTTGAGTTTGCTCCTTCAGGAAACTTTTTAGTACTCCTGTCTATAATTTAGGATGGTAATTCACAGTTAAATGCAATAATCTTGCAGAGGGTCTGCACTGTCAGTGGAGTAAAAGTTAATGTAGTTCTTACATGCCAGTATTTAGTTTTAAATTATCTGTTCCTAGAGTTTGTGTTAAGGCTTCTCCCTGATCCAGGTAACAGCTGTCTAAAAACAGATCGCACCTGTCAAATTATTAAAACTTGCTTAAGGAAACCCTTGTGTTCTATATGTAACTATTAAATATTTCTTTTATTGCAGAGAGAACCATGAACCAGAACGACTGGGTCTAAATGGCATTGCAGAGACAACAGTAGCCATGGAAGTGACATAACCTCAAACCAGGGTCACAGCCTGGGCTCACGGTGTAGTCATTTATATTCCAACTGAATGCAAAACACAGTGCTCTGTGGATCACAGAGAATTAAATGGACCTAAATGGACTATCAGTATATCGTGTATTAAGTCGATATATAATGTAAATTTTGTAAAATTGGGAAAATCACTACCTTGTAAAATAGTTTATTTGTATCATCAATATTATTTCTGTTACTTGAATAGTAGATATTCATCATCATGCTTTTGCACTTGAATTTGCAACTGAATGGATTAAAAAATAATTCTTTAATGGGATCATGAGCATGAAATGGGATCCTGCATCACTTGTTTTAACTATTTATTTTGCCATGTTTACATTTTGTATCTTGTACAAATAAATCCAACTTTGTGTCTAAAAAAAAGTTAAAGATTCATAGCTAGGAAACAAAATTCTTGTAATTTTTTTCTAAAGAAAATGTAAAGTTTTCACTTGGTTCATTTTGTTTCACAATTTGACTAGATGGACTTTTTGGTAAATACTCTAGTGGCATTTCACTGTCAAATATGAAGTTCAAGGCAAAATAGTATTTTCTATTACTGTGCAGGGGAAAGGGATGGATCGATACATGCAAATTTAACGTAGTAACTCACTTTTCCATATATTTTGAATGTATATTTCTATTTATAATACCAGTTTATAAAAAATAATTACACAGGAAAAAAAACTGACTAGGAAAATTATGCATCTAGCACATGTAAAATTGTGCAGATACAAGAAAATTTTCAACTGATTACATTTTATCTGAAGACTGCATATTTTAACCGGCTTTAAAACTGTAACACACCACATAAAGGATATTTTACCAGGTATGTATTGCATTATATATCATTGCAATAATTAATTATTGGATGTCTAGATATCGAGCCATCCCAGGTGGTGGGGGGGAGGGAGGGTTGTGGCAAGATTGTCTTTTCAATTTTGGAGAGTTTTCCTGTGGCTACAAGGCAAGTAACGGGTTGGAAAAAGTCTGACTTGTAAGCGTTGGACACCTTCGTAGTGTAGTGTTTTAGTGACTTTTTTTATACGGTTCTTGTAAATTAGATACGTGTAGTGGTGTTTCAGAATGTTTGTTTATGCACTAGTTCAGACAACTTTCCCTGTTACTTGTTCTTGATAAGTGAAAACTGCAGGGAAATAAAAATACATATCAAAACATGGGCATGTTGCATATGTGTTTATTTCACAATGTGCAAGCAACTGCAGTGAATTTTGGAGGCTGTTCATGGCCTTCTGATGATTTTGATCAAAGCTTGTGCACATTTCTTCCCCAAAGTTGCAGTTTATATGATTGTTACCTGTGCTTACAGTATACAACAGGCGAGGAATGGTCCAGTAGTTGGGAAGTGAGACCTGTGAAAAATCAGGATCAGACAGTTTCTTGTTCTGCCACAGAAACTTCTGGTATTATTTTGGGCAGATCATTTGAATTTTCTGTTGTTTGGGTCTCCACCTGTAATTTGGATAATGTTTCTGCATTTCTTAAAATCAAAGAATCACTGAGGTTAGAAGAAACATCATGACATTGTCTAGCCAAGCACCCTAAAGAAGGTCAACGAATGATTTGCACATCTGTCATGCAGGCAGTGTATTTTTCCTCCTGGCTTTTTATATAATGAGTTATATTTAATCTGAGCTGTCCTTAAACACGTTTTGTCTTACGTTCTGTAAGTTAAAAGTTCTGACAGTTAAAAACTTATAGAATTTTAAATACTGGGAGCTTGTCAGAAACTTGGATGTCTAAAATTAACTACTTTTTGCTTATCTGATGCTTTCTAGTCAGTATGATGTCTGCAAGGAGAGCTAATGATAGATTATATTTGTAAAGAACAGTCAAAGGAACCTGTGACGTACCAGTCCGACTCCCCTAGAAATCATTTTGTACAGGTGCATGACCTTCTCATATATGTCCAAGGCTTTCTTGGTTCATTTCTGGAATGACTATGACCTACGTAGTACGAAGTATTAACCTTTTTTGAGCGCAGAATTGTTGCAAAACAGTCTGAAAAAGAAGCTACTTTCCTTGATATATAAAAATAACTTTGCTCTCTAACATAGCCCAAAAACCCTTTTGAGATTTACTGAAAACAGGAAGTCATTTCTTCTGCAGAGTGGAAGTTGTGCACTTAGCATATGACAGCTGCTGAGCTCTGTACTACAGACTCCTCTCCCTACAAATGCAGATCACTTTCAGGATAAATTGGACTGAAAATGTCTCTAAGACTGCACTGTATCTGTGACTTGCTATAGACTAATCCTCACATAATTACTTAAAAAGTCTTTAACTGGAGCTTTTAACTTGCAGTGGATTCTGGAAAAATGTGAGATGGCGAAAGGATTTTGTAAATTCCCAAAGCTGTAATGGTAAGTGTGACATACATTGAGCGAGTTAAATTTAAAGGATTAGTATTGATGTAACTTTCTGTGAAGTAGAACTATAATGGTCATCCTAAGAATTGCTAGCAATTAATTGTGTGCCTCAGGTGCAAGAAAAGGAGACTGATGAAGATTTCTATGGACTTCTATTCATTTTATAAAAAGAGAAAATTGAGTATTGTTAGAAAGTCTGGTACTTTCTCCTGACACTGGTATACAGCAGGGAGCACCAATGACTTGAGTTATTCTTGTGTGCTGTTTTAAAAGTGTGTTGAGAATACAATGTTCTTTTTTAATTCCCCCATTTGAACATCATGCATATCTGCAACATGATTTCAGTACTGATTTCTGTTTATTACATATTAGGCAATGTTGTTCGGGTAAGATTTTGAATGTAGTTTACCTACAGCGATTTATATTGGACTTCAAGTGTAACATGCAGAGTTTTCCCTTAATGTCAGATGCTAGAAAAATTTAATAAGGTTTATCTAATTTATTTAATCTGTAGATTGACTGAAGTTTTGGGGTGTGCTTAATTGTAGGCATTTTGTTTCTAATTCTGCTGTAGGGCTTTTCCTCACTTTTCCAGACATCTAACATCATATTCTGTTTACAGAGATGTCCCTTCCTTTAATCCTCTACACTAGACTGCATGTACAGGTTTTCCCCTCCTACCAACAAGCTGACAGTGACTGCAGCCCTTTTGTGGTTTTCCTGATTTTTGAAACTCCTTTTCCTCCTGTGAAAGTTCATTTTCCTGTACTATCTCTGGCTCCTTTGTAGAGAATAACAGACATGTTTCCTATTTCCTTATTACAGTAATTGTGGTTTTTGAAGCAGAATTCTCAGTGCAGCTTTCCAGGAGGTGAATGATTTATCCTGAAGTGGACCTAGTATCATGCTCACGGCTCAGCCTTACTCTCCACTTCTAATACCATTCAGGATGAACTGCTCAGACCTTCAGCATAGGAATTTCTACCAGGACACACTGTCTGCAAACAGGAAAGCTCTGAAGGCAGCAGCAAACTAAACACTTTAAAGACAGGATTGTCATCTCAACAGATTTTCAGATTTCAGAGAAACGGCTTTCAAATCTCACTTCTCTATTTCTTCTACTTTTAGGTTGTGCGATACTCAGGATAGAGAATAGCCTTCATAAATAAAAGCATGTCTTGAGTAAACTGTTACTGGGGAAAGAAGAAAAAAGGACAGACATCTCTCTAAGGGGGAGATGAAATGTTTCCTGCATAGCAGCAGATCCAGGCAATATGAAGTGGGGTAGCTGTCAAGATCCAACCGTTTACATTTGAATGAAGGCATGTGAAAGAGTATTTTTTTTTTTTCCTGATCTAACCAGCTAATCATCTGGGAAACATTAGTTAGAGGCAATTGCTCTCTGAGGCAGCGCAACCCTGGGTTTGTTTAATCTTCCAGGAATTCCATCCAGACCATTCAGCATGGGGGGGTGGTGGGATGCTGGCCTGTGGAGCCCTGCTCAGGAGCCACTTGTACCTGGGAAGCTTCCTAAGGCAGAAGGAGATTTCTCAGGGAAAGAGCAACCAATTTGAGGGTAAGGGCAGTGTTGAAGCAAGGGGGATGGCAGGGATTGGGGTGGGGTCGGGAATGATACAGGGAGCAGATCCATAGTAAGAGCGTTTGTTGTACTTCCCAGCACATTTTAACCCCAACTGTGTTATCTGGAGTTTTTCATTCTGGGAGCCTGCTGCTTGTTTTTAACAGAGGTAATGTTTTGGGTGTCCTGCTGCATCACTCCAGCCTATGTAGAAATAAAGCAGCCCTCTAGGTATTTGCAGAGTGCCTAAATGCGTTTAATGGCAGCATTTCTCTTGTAGGCCAGTGATAATGTGTGAGAATAGCATTATGTATGAAATGGGAGTATATTTGGGTAACTTTTTTTACAAAATTTTACTTAAATGGCCAGAAAGGGAATGTAAAGATGTACTTCTGAGAGAATGCAGTACACGTCAATTCTATTTGGTAAGGAAGTCCACTGGCTAAGAATGAGTTTGAAGCAAGCTGCAATTGTTACCCATACATTATCCTGTCTTTTTAAGCACCTAGCTTGCCAAGTAATTGTGTCTTGTCCTCCTGCCAGGGAATAGAGCTCTCTTAAAGGAGTGACTTCAGGGCGTTTCCAGATTACTTTTGTTAACTGTGGGAGGTAGCTGCATCTTCAGTGACTGTATAAGGGAAACTTAGGAGTAGCCATGTCCTACTTGCAGACACCCAACAGCAATGCCTGACCAAGGTGATGTGGAGTTCTTGCATGTCCCAAAACTGGTTTGATTGTATGCTATCCTTCTGCAGTTACTGTCAGTACTCAAAATGACATTCCCTGAAGTGAGAATGTTTGCATCTGAAGCACCTTTCTGTTCTACAGGAGGAAAAGGGGAGTTTCAAGTTAAGCAAGTCATGGACAGCACAGAGCAGTTGTTTCCAAGTCACGCAGTATATCTCGAAATGAAATCTGTATGCTTTGAACTTTTTTTTAATGGTGTAATCTCAAAAAATTAATGAAGAGCACCCATGCAAGTCACATTTGGTAGAAATTTAACTCTGTGGAATCAGTCTGTAGTGCCACCCAGTAACTACAGTTTAAAGAACAAAAATAAATTACTGTAGTTGGCATAGGACAAAATTCTGAAAACTAAAAGGGAACAACAGTGAGGCAACTGAACCATTTCCTGAATGTGGGCTATGTTCACTCCTCAGTGGCTTTGTCCATTCCTTTCTCTGAATATTGGCATCATCTTCCCATTCTTGGTCTGTACATAGTAGTGTTGAAAGTGGTGGTCCCTGTATCAACTGTGAAAATGCCGTACTGCAACCCAGCACTCCTCCAAAGGCTCTGGGTGGGTGCATGTGCTTGCAAGCATGAAGAAACATGATGGCCCAAAATCTCTGCAGAAAATCTGGGAGATGCCTTGCACCCTATGGGTGTTCCAGGATAGCCTTTCCCCTGTACCCCAATTACACTGCTTTTTTTTTTTTTTTAATCATAACTCCCCTCAAGTTACGATTGTTTCTGTGATTAAGAATGGGAAAATCTCTTTAGTCCAGTCTGGCTTCAGTCCATTACACACTGATTTAAGCCTAATACAAATGTAATTACACAGGGAGGATAATGTAGAAAGATCAATTAGAGATCAAGGGGCAAATTAAGGAGGGAGGCAATTAATTAAGGCTATACTACAGCAGATATGTAAGAAAATTTGGAAAGAACAGATGCATCCGCCTAAATTTTTTTTTTTTTTTTTTTTTTGTCTGACAGGAGTACATAAGCACTCTGTAAAGTTCTGACAGGTGAAATGAAAACACTCTGACCACAGCACCATGCATATCCTATACTGGCAAGATCTTACCTATTCAGGAATGTCTGTAAAAATGAACTAGTACTGTGCCTATCAGCTGCTGAACTCTCCTGAAGATAGCAGAGAGAAGTTAGTGGGGCAGAAGGTGATCAACTGACCAAGGCCAGGCACAACTGGTAGTTACACTTTCAGAACCCCAGTAGTGGTCCAGATTGAGTTTGGATGGAGATGCAAAGCCCTTCTTCCAGAAGCTGTGGGGAGCCCCATATGCTCTGATGTCACCCCTGGGGACAGCTGGTGGCAGCTAGCTGTAGATTGATGTCAGCCTGGTGCTCACTTTCCCACCATTGCTGGCAATGCTTCGCTGACTCTTCCTGAGTTAATGGTATTTCACGGAACGCTGCCCTGGGGAAAAACTGATGCTTAAAATAACATCATCTTCATCTTCCTGGTGATGATCAGACTAGAGTAGTCATCGTGGTTTTAAATCAACAGCAGTGTAAGTGACACCAGAAGATGGCATCATCTGCCTGTGATGCTGTTTTAACTGCGGTGGCGGATTTGACAGTAGACATGTTCTCCCTCACAATGCACTTTGGTGTGGAGGCTTTGTGTTTTGGGGTTATGTATTTTTTCGTGGGTTTGGGCTTTTTAGTTCTGTCGTTTGGGATTTTTATGATTGCTCTATAACTTCCTATAATAAAAGATGACATATTTTTTCCCAAGTAAGAACACTTTTGTTTGGGTTATTTATTGAGTAACCCAGGTGAAAGGATTGTGACTTGGAAAAATGGTTTGAGTATTGAAGAATCAACTAAAACATTTTGCTGTTTTATACGAAGTGGTAACAATCTATTCGGTTTTGGCAAATCCATTTTTATAGGTGGGTTAACACAGTATATATGACTATGTATAATGTGAATAATTTACATGAAGATAGATATTTTTGTGTGTACTTGACATACTTTATGTATGTACTTCAAGCATATATTGAAGTCTTTCGCAAATCAGAAACAATGGCTGCTTATAAACTCCACTAGTGTAGCCCAAATGTTGTCTGATGGAATATCTTCTGACTGGCAGTACTTGATTTCCAAACCTGACCTTTCTGTGGAAGCATGACAGAGGAATCCCTGTGGTGCCCCCACCACCAAAGAAATCATTCCCTGTCTGATCAAAGGAAATTAATTACCATGGATATTTAAAATTGCTTTTTATCATGTTGATTCCAACCCTTTTGGTATCTCCTGGAAGAAATCCTTTATGTCCCTTTTACCTGCAGACGTGTATCAGCACTGATGACACAAGTATATCAGATTTCATCTCGAAGGCCATTGCTGAGACACCAGGATTAATGGAACCTATGTTAAAGCCACTCTCCCCTGCTGATAAATTATGACCCTGGCAGGTGCATTCTGTTTAATGCACAGAGCTGTTAAAGACAGCAGAAATTCAGCCCTTCTTGTTCTTTTTTTCTCCTGAACCTCGTTCCCAAAGCCAAAACTCACTCCTTGAACCAAGCAGCAATAAAAGGAAGCAATGTTCTTTTGGCTCTGGGGACTGGAAATTGCTTTTTCACTTCCCAAATGCCCAGGCACCCAGTTCTTGATTTCTGTGGGGCCACCTTTCTGTTGGCATCCTCATTCCACTGTTGTTCATAACATGCTCTATCACACAGCCCCCTTTGTTTTTTTTCCTGCAGCCTGAACAGCTTGGCTATATTGGCAGCTCATCTACAGGGAAATGGAAACTCATCATTCTCTTATGACTGCCCCCCTTCACCCTAGTCTTCGAGGAAAGGATTTGTTATTCGTTTTGGAGACCTCCGACACCTGGGGCTGTTCAGTGAACTGTCCCAGCTGACACTGGCTCAGCTTAACAATTTCTTCAGGAAACATCAGAACTTGCTGTCAAATCATATCTAATGTGCCAGGGTGATGTAAGTCATGCACTTAGCTGGAGAACCTGCTGGAAAAGTGGGAAAATGAGATGACATCAAGATTTGCTTTGTTTTACTTTTGGGAAAACTCTCTTGCATTCTGGTGCACTGTAGCTCACTAAACCCAAGAGAACTACAGCTATAGTGGCGTTTCTTGTAAGTACATGATCTGAGAAAAGCATAGTTTCAGAAATGAAGGAAATTAATAATGCTTAAGATCACAGCGGCAAAGTATGACTGCTTTTCTATACCTTGATAGTTCATGTTTTATAGGAAGTAGTATTCCAACACGCTGTAAATCATATCTTCCATCATGCATTCTGAACAGCCTGGAAGAAGCTTGCAAGCTCAAGAAGGTTTTGATCCCTCCTGAATCTGGCTGAAAACTAATGTTCCTAATAGGCTACTTAACCCAGTAATCTGGTAATAAGTAGTAAAAATAGCAGCTTTGTGACAATATGGTATTGTCTACAGTACAGACAATGTATTACTGTTTGTGACAACTGCTAAGAAAAGACATCTCTGCAGTGCATTCTTACTGATTGCCAATTATACCTACTCTAATAGGAGAAAAGAGTTTGCCTATCTTGCTCCAAAAGGAGCTCTTGGTAATGGAGAAAAATCAGCACCAATTAATTGAAATGGTTGTCTTTTATGACTAAGCCCCTGCTTGTCCTGACTACCTAATCGGATATTCAGGGTAAAAGCTTGAAACATAAGAGAAATAAAAGGGCTAGATAATTGGTAATCCCTGGGAATAAATCACATGACATAATAATGTTTTATCACATGCTGCACATTGCTAACTCTCCCTGATGAAATTGCTTTTAAGAAGGGCATGAAGAGCCTTTGTAGCCTGCTCTTCTTGCATCCATTGCAGGTACTGAGGACAAGTGCTCAACTGCTGTAGCTAGAAGAAAGGGAAATCTCTGTAGAAACATTAAAGAACTGGCCACTGTAATCTTAATTGCATGACCGAGGCTCATTTAATGAAACTGGTACTCCAGAGGAAATGGGTTTCTGGAGTTGCTGAAGTCCAGGGAATGCCTGCAGCTTTCCAGAAAACATCAACAGTTACTGGGTTCATCTTTAAGTGGTGTAGATTCTTGCAGGGAGAAAGTGATGGAGGAGGGGGAGAAGACATTAGACTATCTCAACTTTAATGTAGTGAAATTCATTAGCCTTGGCAGAGGAGGGTGAGTTGCAGGTATTTTTAGCAGGTAGGGAAGAAACGATGTCAGAGAGTGGAGGAGGAGGAGAGCACCCCAATGTGTGGGAACTGGATGCAGACACTGTTTTTTCCAGATGCTGATTCATTGCCTGCATCGTGACAAATTGCTTGTAAATTTAATGAGGGCAAAGCGCCACCCAGCTATTGCTTCTGCTTTTCCTCACAGAAAATAAGGGTAATATAATGACAGCCCGGGACTAGATATTCTTTAACCTAGTTATAAATCGGGCCGGTGTCTCCACCCAGACAGCAGCAGCAGCTGGAGGCCTAACCCAAAGCAGAGGACTTACCCTTAAAACTGGAGCAAATACAGACAACTGGAAAGGAGATAGATGCCTGTGCCCTGCTGTGCGTTTTTGTTTGTGACACCCCCAGAGTCGAGCATGAGCGTAGTCCCTGCCTCAGATTAGAGAGCCATAACCTGCAGCTGATTACTGCAAGCTACCACGGACGAAGGGCTAACCTGGCTCCTGCGGTCGGGGCTCTGTGCGCTCCTCGCTCGCTCGCTCCCTCCCTCCTTAGCGGCTGCGCGGTGGGGCGCCGCTGAGGGGAGCAGTTAGGGACCGTTAGAGTCCTTGGCGGCCGCCACCTGCAGCGCGGACTACGCCTCCCGTCAGGCCTCGCGGGCGCTGCGGTGCGGCTGCGGAGCAGCCCGGGGGGCGCTGAGGCGGGCGCTGAGGCGGGCGAGCGCTCCTCGCAGCCCGGCTCCGCGCAGCCGCGCCCGGGCAGGGGGGCGAGCCGGGGACCGCGGCCGCTGCCGGCGCTGAGCGGCTGCTCGACCCGCCCAGTCCCGCCCCTCCCGCCCCGCCTGCTCGGCGGCAGCAGGGCGTCTGCGGCACCTGCCCGGCGGAGCGTTCGCTCCCTGCGGCCGGCGCCCGCCCCGCCGAGATGGCGGATCCCGCCGAGTGCAGCATCAAGGTGATGTGCCGGTTCCGGCCCCTCAACGAGGCGGAGATCCTCCGGGGGGACAAATTCATCCCCAAATTCAAGGGCGACGAGACGGTTGTTATCGGGGTGAGTCTGCCGCATCCTTCCCCAGCCTGCGCGGTGCCGAGCATCCACCCTCCTCCCCGTAGCCCCGGAGTGAGCATCCTTCCTGAAGGTCCCGCCGCCCGCAGGAGCCCCGCTCACCCACCGCCCCCCTCCCTCTGCCGGTGGGCCCCGCGCCCATTGTTCCCGCGGCAGCGGAGCGAGGAAGGGGTGGCGGTGCTCCCCGGGGTTCTGCCCCCCTGTTCCCTCCCCGACACCGCGGTCGGGGGGTTTGGGCTCCCCCGGGGTGGCCGGTCGGGCTCCGGGAGGGGTGGGGGTGCGCGGGGGCCGCCGCTGCCGGCGCTGATGTCATGCCGGTGACTGGGCATGCTCGCCGAGCTCCGCGGGGGCGGCCGCCCGCGCCTCCGCCGCGCCCCTGCGGCAGCCGCTTGGGGAAAGTTTCACGGGGCTGCGGCGGGATCCCCTGCGCCAGGGCCGAGCAGCACCCTCCGACCCGCGGACAAAGCCGGTCCCGGAGCGCCGGGCACCTCCGTAGGGCCGGGGATGCGCCGTGCTGGCCTCGAGCGGGCGGGATGCGCCGGTGCTGGCTGGTCTCTGCAGAACAGCGGGGTTACGGTGTATCTTTAGGCGCGGTGACCCGCGCGAGTTGAAGTTTTTCCTTTTCGTTTACAAACAAACATTAAACATCAGTTCGGTGCCCTCTTGCAGCAGCCGCCCCACGCCGCCTTTTCCCCAGCGCTTTACACGGGTAGGCTGCTCGCAACAGCCAAGGCTTTAAAATGAACAAAGCGTGCGAGTGCCAGGGCCTTACGCGGCTCGGGATGCAGCTTCTCTGCCGAGCGGTTAACATGGCGCAGGGAAAGCGCCTTCACTTGTCCTTCCTGCAGCTGAAGCCTTCCAAAGCGGGTGTCTCTTTATGGGTTCAGGAATTAGCCGGTGCTGGATTTGGTGGGTCTACATAGGCAGTACCGTATTCTCGAACTTGAGCTATATTTTCTGTCTAACCAGCCCCTCTCTTTAGTCCTTTATTTTATATATTGGTCTACTGGGGTTAAACCAATACTATGATCCATACTGTAGTATGATAAAGAGATCCTACAATTAACTGTTATTCCAAAGAATGAGCAAAATGCTTGTATGATTTGTTAAGGTTTGTATTAAAACACTGGCTTGATTAGAAACTTTTTTCTTGGAAGTTGCAAAACAGTTGCAGAGAAATTGGTCAGTTCTGGACATGAACTTGTTTTTCTTAATTTGTTTTTATTAAATGTTTTTTCCTCTGGCCATATTAGTTTTCTTTATTGGAAGGTTAAAGTCATAGCACCTACCACAGTTTGCTAACAGCAGAATAATCAAATTGGTTGTCAGTCTCGGTCAGCAGTGCAGGGCTGTCTTTGGTCAACAAATATTTGGAACTAAATCCTAACTGTAGCACAGTCATATGGATGTTTAAGAAACAAATGTCAGCAGTTCCCCTTCCTCCCTTAAATAAATAAACACTCAGATACATTAAAAGTAGGTTAAAATAAATTTACTGTAAATCCCTTAACAACATAATCTTTTAAGGAGAAGTAGAATTTAGAACCATTTCCTGCCTAAGTGAGTGTGCAAGTAGGTAATGTGTCTTTGTCTATAAAGTATCTGTTGTCTGGGAAAACAGTAACTATAATGCTTTGAAAAAGGTATTTTTTGTCTTGCAGTCAGAAGAGAATTCCTGTAGTAAAAGTAAAAAGGAAATGTAACAGCAACTGTCAATTTCTACCATGGAAGTTTAAAAACATAGTTAGAAACAAGAAAAAAGCATGTAGTTATTTATATAAAAATATAGAAATATTTCTATGTGTATTCAGTAGCATAATTTTTAGGGGTTGTAATCTTGAAAATCTATTCAAAAGCTTGGAGTATGCCTTTCTTTTCCCTTCACAGGGCAAAATATAGATCTTTTTTGGGTACACATTTTAGTAATCTTAATGAGCGCAATAAATCCTCAGATACAGCTGCTTTCTTTCAAAGACAAGCCATGCAGCTGGGGTTCCGTGGGGATATTTGTGGTTTTGTAAGTGTAAATGAGCATGAAAATCTTACCATATTTTTCAAGCTTTGGCATAACTTGACCTACAGTGGATGCCACTGCAGTATGTCAGTAGAAAGTGGTACTGGTTGTTATTGTTTACTATTTTAGGGTGGCTGCTCAGCTCCAACAAATAACAATCCAACATCCAATAAATAGTGCTTGGCAGGGGTAAGGAATTCCAATTCTGGTGGAAGAATGTAGAGTAGACTTCCTTCTAGAAAAGCAGGAATTTAATCTTCAAAAGCTCTTGAAAACATTATCTGAAGCAAAAAGCACCTAACACCTTTTTTGTTGTTTTCCTATAACATTTGAAAAACACTGCAATGCAGTTTTTATTTTTGTTCTATAATATATTGGAATGAAAGGGGTTCTGTTAAAATTTAAGAAACCCCCCTCCCAGGGGAATTTTGTCATCCCATAAGAAAAAATAAGATAAATCATTTAAAGAAAATGTCTAGTTTTCTCTGACTAGTAAGTCTGAATAAATTTGTTTTTCTTTCCCAGCAAAAGTGCTTTCTTTCTGAATCATTTCCATTATACTTTCCTAGGGCCTTGAGCAGATTTTTCCACAAAAATTAAATAACATGACTTGATGATATTTCTTGAAAACAAACAGCAATGAAGGAAGTTCGACAACTTAGGCTTGAGTTTCCCAGAAATCTTTCACGCCCTGTATAAAGCTATATTTCTGTGATGCCTGTGTTGTGTGGTTTGGAGCTTTTCGTCAGGGAAGTCCTAGGGCAATGTCCGAGCTCTGTTCAAACCAGTTGACATTTGACCCAGTGTCTTATGTTCTGGCTTCTTCCATCCATCTTCATGAGCTTTGCACATGCAACACAGTGAAGTACGGAAGATTAAAATGTCTTACCTTAAGTTTTCCTTTCTTTGAAACAGAGAAAAACCACTGTATTTTGAATCTACTTTAAGATTTAGAATATAAAACCTTTTAGATGGATCTCATCTGCAGGAAGAGGCAGCACTGGTAAATCCACTGCTTTCTTTTGTGGTTAGCTGCCAGACAGTCTCAACAGACTGCAGCTTCATTTTATGTTTCTCCTCTGCAACCTCAAGGTGACTCCCTGATTGATTGTGTTCTCTGACATACCTAAAAAATAAAAATGTATTTTTCTAGCTGGCTTGGTTCTTATGGTCTTGTAGGAGAGAATGGAGCTGCTTGCTGTAGTGAGCAACTGAGGCAGTCTTCTGGCATGTGGCTTTGTCGTGTTTATTCCTGTTCCTCTGAGTGCTTTTATTCCTGAGCATCTGCAAAGGAAGGATGCAGAGAGGCTCAGCACCTGGTGGGATGCTCCCCATGAGCATACTTTTCTGGTTTATGTTTGTGGGAGAGAGGGCTTCCAGACCTTTCCCCCATCCCTGTTGTAAAATATTTAGGAGTTTAATTGTGAAGGAGATAGCATTTTCACTTCCTTTTCCTGTTATGTTTAGAGTGACCAATTCTCTTTTAGTGCTGATCTGAAACTGATTTTTAAGTTAAATATCTCCTGTTTAGAAAGGAGAACTTCAAAAGCAAATCTTTCTAGCCAGCTTGTAAACCTCATGTTAATATTGCCAGAAAGGGGATAAAAGACTCTTCACTCTGGTTGTCAGCCGCTTTTTGGGCTGCAGGATGAGGGCGCGTGTAAAGCCCAGCTTAGCAGGAGCTGCTGAGTGCTGCAATTCTCTGCTGTGTGCTCTGTGTCAGGCAGGCAGTGCAAAGTATTCCTCAGCCCCACGCTGCTTGTGCTGGGGGTCTTTAGCGAACCCCTCTACCAGCTCTCCTGGCAAACTACACCCAAGGAAACCAGAGGAGAGCCATAGAGTAAGTGGGAGGGTCTCTGCAGGGTTCTGCTTGTCTCTCATGGGGGGGGGAAATTTTGTTGTTTCATCTGTGAAACATTCCACATACCAATCTATTGTGCCTAAAACCAGACAAAATCATCACCTGATACTCTGCTACTCAGCAGTGGTCACTGCTGTTTTGCAGTGTCATATTCCATGAAATAAAACAAAATATGATGGATGGTTCTTTTGCAGTGAGTGGAGCGGAATCTGATCAGAGTTGTGTTGGTTTCTTGTTTGGTGGTTTGTTTTTTTTGTTGTTTTTTTTTTTTTGGAACGTCATATGGAGAGTTTCTCACTTATTTCTATCCCTACAATATTTGGATACCTGTAACCTTTTATTTCACATATGCCAATGAAGTCAGCAGTTTGTACTAATGAAAATAAGGCATGTTCTTAAGTCCGTCCTGTACAGAGATCTCTCTATGCTGTTAAGCAGTTGTCACTCTGTGGTTAAGACAGACCTAAACCCCTCTTCCAGGATAGTAGATAAATGACTAATTTAAAAAAACCCCAACAGCCTACCCTGTGCTGCGTGGCTTTTTTCATGGGTTGGTACACTGTGCTTCTAACAAAAGCCCAGCATCCATCACTACCTCAAAATGCACAACATTTCTGGTTATGAAAGATTTGTTCACGACCTATTTATGAACACCTTTTATAAAAAGCTCATACTGGTTTGACATAGAATGTGAAATGAGATGGGACTTCTGTCTTGGTGTAAAACATGTCTGTGGATATGTAGCATGACATTTTCCTAGCAGAACACTTAATGTGGAATGCTAATGCTTGCTTTGTCTCCTAGCATCTTTGGTTTGTTTTCCAGCTCTGCTCAACATTCTTTTCCAGTGAGGCCTGAACAAGTTTTCTGTGAAAGATTTTATGAAGGACTGTTATGAGATACAGGTAGCTGGCATAGTTAAGCATGACATTTCTATGGAATCGGTGGTATCTGAAGACAACAAGCGCTGGCAAATATCTCTGTGGGGGCTGTTTCTATCAAAAGTGTCACTAATTCTCCTATATCCTAAGCTTTCTCCATACCCTGGCATAAGCCATGAATGTGTCTAACCTGCTGCGTTTTCCTGTTTTGTGGATGAGATGAACCACT